TCACTCCTTATACATTTTGATGATTTATTCCTTCCACTCATCATACCCTTTCAGGATGAACTTGCCAATGTCAGAGATCATTTTGATATAGGACAGTGGAGCTTCTCATTTGAGCATCTCTACTATCCTTCTGTCATTGGCTGTATCATTCTGGATTCTGGTGAGTTTAGCAAGTCACTCTAGCTCATTGAAGTATTCTGTTGCTGATTTGTCACCCATCTTAAACTCTTTGATCTTCACCTTGTGTACTTCTTGTATAGCTCAATCAACAAATTTATCATTGAGCATTTATTTAAATACAGGCTATGAGGGCAATTGATGATGTTGTCAAGTGGTGGAATAGAAGTTAGAGGATATGAGAATCCATCATGTCTTTGCCTTTTTCTCAAGATAAGAGGAGGCAAAGGTGACTTGATTCATGTCTATTCTCAGGAATGTGGCATAGACTTTGAAATATTGCTCAGTCTATAAGAAATCAGTCAATATCATCAGATGCATCTTTGAAGGGGCATGGTTTTCATAATAAATCAGGATGGCATTGTAAGACTGTGGCATTTTTGAGTAATGCCCCTATCAGATTAGGCCATTGATCAAATGGTAGTCATTGCCATTCAGTAGAAGGGCTGGAGAATGAATGGAGGGAATTGTCATCAGCAATCAGACTTCTCATTGGTGCTGTCTCTTTGCATACTATTACTCCATTTCACATAGTAAAGCCAAGTCAAATGGCTTCAGGGTCATTCTTGATGGAGTCCTTTCTGGTTCCACTTCCTTTAGCTTCATCTGATGAGGGTTGTCCACCAAAGAGTCAGCTTCCTTAGTTTATCCATGAGTTGTGAAAGCCAGCAGGTCTAATGATCAGCTAAGGTCAGAATCAGAAAAGCTGTGTTGCCAAAGTCTGGATTGAGGGAGTAGAGTATGAGTATTGTATCCTGGTGGTTCAGATGGATGGTGCCATGTATACAGCATGTCTTGGCATAACTAATGATATTCATAGCATTGGCTCTATCTTGTACTTGGATTTGTATAGTGGAAGCCTGCTGAGTTGGTCTTCTGGATGTGTTTGATTGTAGACTCGAACTGCATGCTTGGTCACAGCATACTGTAGAATATCTCTTCATTTGTTATCATCTGACAAAATATAATCCTTCCTTAGAAGTGATGCTGACCAGTTGGCATCCCTCCAGAGAAACATTATCCCTTCTTCATATAGCTATTGATATTCTTTTTCCCATTCTTGTTGCATCTCCTCTAATAGTACTTTCTCATCTGTTTCTTTGTTGATGAATTCTCTAATATGTCTCTCTCTAAGAGGGATATCCTCACCTCTCTTCATGCTGTCTGCATCATCCTCCTCATTGTCCTCATCTTCCTTGAGGAGAGAACTGATAAGCTGATCATAGAGACTCATTTCAGGTGATCTGAGCATTGTGAGGGAGCTGGTCATTGTGTTGGGCACTTTGTCTGGCCTTGTTGTTGTCAATAATTGGGGGTGGTCACTGGAGGTTTCAGCCAGCTCCAATCTTGACATCATAGTAAGTGCCTCTATGTGCTCATGCTGTCTCCATATCTTTGCAATAGACTCAGAAGTTTCTATAGAACTCAGAATTAAGAAACTGCCTGGCAGCTCTCTCACTGAGGAATCTTCTGAGAGCATAGTCAGAGATGTGAGCATTGAGGGGTACTCAAAGCCCATAGATGCTGAGTACAGACTTGGCATCTGAGGGAAGAGTATCTAGGCTGGGGACTCAGAGAGAAGGAGAACAGTCTCCCTTCCTAATAGCCTCATCAGGGGTAGTAGGGCTGGTTGGTCCTGCCTATGGGTCAGTTGTTGGAATATTAGATTCTCAGAAGAGGGTTCCAGGAGTTTCAGTTCAAAGGCCATACCAACTTGAGGAAGCAGATCCTCAGGTGGCAGCCTTCTGCTCATGCTGTTGTTGCTGCTGTCATTGGTCCTCCTGTTCTTCCTCATACTGCTGCTGAATGGCCACTCAGGCATACTCAGCAAGTTTTTCTTGAGCTTGCTCAAGGTCATTTCAAGATCAGCCTTCCTTCTGCTGCCGCTGTTGTTGTACTGCTGTATCATAGTTAAATGGGACTCAGAGATTCTAGTCTAAGAATATCCTCTGGATAATCCTGTCTCAGGCTGCCAGCCTTCACTGCCAGACTTTATCATCTGCTGGCTGATTTTCAACCATCCTATAGTCACTGTCATTGAGATGGATTGAGGAGGTTGGGCTCTCTGTTGGAGTTGCATAGAGAGAGTCATAGAGGAAGTTTGAGGTCTTGTGTTGGGGTCCTAGAGCCACCCAAGTGGCATCAAGAGAGTTTTTAGCATAGTATCCAATCCCAGGCTCAGTTGGTGTGATAGAAGGATCAGAGGAGGGCTCAATGTTAAAGAAGTCTTGAGAGAGGTTCTCATCTTCATGGTCTGAGACTGGAGGGAGATGCAACAGGACCCACAGGTTTCTGAACCTCACATGCTGATTGTTGCTGTTTCTGCTGTTGAGTCAAGAGGGGTATCAGTGTCTTTCTTCTTCCTCAATGCTCTGCAGATCTGTTCCCCTAGGCTCAACTTCAGGTACAGTTCAGAGCAGAGGCTGGAAGGAGGTTCTTGTGGATTTGAGAATATTATAGAATAGTAGATTGAGGATTACATTCCTGAGGATTTGTTGGATATGCTGGAAAGCTTGATAGTGCCTGACTATCCAAGTGGTAACTGATTGTCATCCTCAACAAAGTTGGACAATCATGAGTAATTCTAGAAGCATGCCAATGATGGCTGCTAGTAGTTTAAAGAAATCATGTGTGAGGGGATCTGGTGTGTTTGATGGTGGCATTCAGTTTTCTTTGTGCTTTTTGTGTGTAAGAAAAGGAAAGCAGTAGCTTCAAGCTAATTGTTAAGCCCAAGTGACACATGACCAAAACATGTGATAAATGAGTGCTGTATTGCCTTTGTACAATCACATCCAAGCTCACTATGTGTGTTTTGTATAGTATTGTGTCTCAAGGTTAATACAAGTTGACTCAAAATAGAATGGTAGATGTGTAAACTTTAGCTTGAAGCTGGGGTTATACCAGTGAGAGCTATCCTACTTATATACAGTTTATTTATAATGATATAAATACTACTACTAATTGTGTTGATTATGGTCTTTGTGCTCCTTGTCCTTGAGCATCACAACTGTCTACAAAAGTCTTGTTGTGCATCATCAAGCAATATTGTTGCATTGAAAGACAATGACCAACTGGGCTTGTTATGATGACTAAGCCAGTCTCACAGTCTTAAGCACTGGTCTTTAGGTGCTCTGACTAAGCATAAATAGGGGTTAAAAGCAACAAAAACTGGAAAAATCATAACAATTTTCTGTTCAGAAACATGAGGTGCAACAAGAGTATAGGAATAGTACTCACTGTTAATTAACCAAACTTGAACATGGTCATTAAGTGGCATCAGGTTTCTTTTACTGACAGCATTTAATACAGCATCAACCTATATGAGAGTAGATGACATACTTTGCAAATCAAGGAGCACCAATGGTTTCTTTGTGACAATAAGTGTTGAAAGCAAGCTCCTACATTTTCACATTGGACTAGACAAATCTTCATGATACTGGAGCCTAGAGGTGAATTTCCAAGACTCCACTTTCAATCAAGGATGTCTCCTCTTCTTTATTGATGGACAATGATAAACCAGAATGAAATTACATACTGCAAGAAGGCAGTGACTCAAATCTCCTCCTCTGCAGAGTCCTGAATTACATACCAGTGCACTTTGAGTTATTAACAACAAGCTTAATATGGAGGCTTCTGGAACCACCTTACTAGGCTCCCAAGAGAGTGAAGAAAATTCAATGTCGGAGGTAGTGGTGGTGGTGGTGGTGGTGGTGGTTGCAATGAACTGATCAATGATGTAACTGAAATACCAGCCCTCAATTGCACGTCAGAGACCGGACCGTATCTGACCAGAGAGATGATGGAACGAGCAATTTAAAACATAAAGAACCACTACGCATCTATATTACTGTATCCTCGATGGCAAGAGCCCGGGGTTATACCCATTCATCCCGTCACCAACGATTCTTCACTAGCGCTCTGCAAACGCTCCAGCTTTTTCATATCAGTTCTTCACGGCGGCCCCTACGATCTGGGGAGGACTCTTGAGCGAGCTCCTTGCAAGTCAACTGTCTATTAGGACCGTCGATTCCCAGCCGCTCTGATAAAAGTTCACAACAAGCCTCGGTGGAGGCCTCGGACGAAATCGTAGTCGATGGAAGCGAAGCGCTTGTAGGCGACTGTATTTTATTTCAGAGGGGAGCCGACGAAGTGGAAATCAAAAGGGCATACCTTCAAAGTACGCACGGACGTCTGCCATTATCTTCAAAGATGCCTTCCATGTGATCAGCAGGAAGCAGCCTCACCAAGTCCGAGCCTTGAATTCCATGGGATACCGACATTGTTCAGGCTCGATAGGATCGTATTAATCTCGTCGGAAGGACTAGAAATCAATGTGATCAGTCCGAGCCTACTCAAGTTGAGGAAAACTCGGATATACTTTTCCAAAGTGGACGTCAACGTTCCATGGTCCTGCTGGCGCCGAGCCCCTTTATAATACGCAAGGAATTTCTCAGTGTAATTGGACAGAGAATGAGTATTGAGGGTATACGATCGATAATATTTCTTAAGCCAGTCCGAGGACAAGAGGCAGCGATATCTGGAAATACATTTGATCTATCGGGCTTCTCTCCCATCACATCCAAACTATCTAACTCATTTCTCACCTGGTCCAAGTTGTAACGTCATCGTTTCGAAACATAATTCCACGTCAAAGTTACGGGGTGGGATACTCGCTGTGCGAGGCAGTATCGCAACTCTCTCAAGCTAACTCAAGCTAATCTCAGACATGAGGGCAGCGCGTCAGTGAGTTTTCCCCGCACGATATATGAGGATCCAGAGAGCAAGTGGAGCGGAGAGCAAACTTGAGCATGACTTGAGGTAGCATGCGGATGGCCGGTAAGATCGGGCGGGATGGACAATGTATGTGCTTCGCTCTGTTTCCTGTTGAAGGAGACACGTGGTACCCGACGCCAGTCTCGAGCATTACTCTTATTTTTTATACACGATTGTTAGGTACATTTTCTTTACTATACTCCTAACCACCCCATAGCCACGTCAGCAACCTCAGTCGTTTTACTCTTACTGCGCCGATTGAGGTATGCTTCTTAGCTACTATACCAGTATACACTTACTTAGCTACTCTAACAGTTCTCACAACGTCGTTTATTTACCTCGGTTCATGGTATCGCATATGGAAGGGGTGACGGAGGCGCAGCGTGGTGCTGCAACCCGAGAAGGCAATGCAGACCCCCTTGATCCCCGTGACTTGACGGAGAAACTCGCAGCGCTCAAGCAGCAAATGTTGAGTGTTATGGAACGCACCTTTAAGAACCGGTACCTTCAGCCGGACAAGCTGACTCTGGTGTCACCTAAACTCGCGCAGAATTTGGCGGACCGTTCGTCTGAACAACGAGGTCACCTCATCGCCTTCTTCCGAGCGCTCGCTTTGTGTCACACAGCCCTTTCCGACAAATCCGAGCCCCAAGAGTTACCGTATCACTTGGATAACAAGGCTGAATCGCCGGACGAGACCGCGTTGGTGGCTGCCGCGCGAAACGTTGGGTTCCCCTTTGTCAAGAAATCGAAGGATATTTTGACATAGAAGCCATGGGCCAGTCGGAGAAGTACATGCTTTTAAAGGTCCTCGAGTTCAACAGCACGAGGAAACGAATGAGTACGCATCGGTTTATTTCGGATCGGCTTTTGGATTTGCGTATGAAATCAAGACATGATCGAGGATCCCCGATTTGTCTTGGCATTTGGGTATAAAAAGGGCGAAAACTTGGCTCGAGTCATTTCTAGCAGTAACCACCACCACCACCACCACCACCGCTCCGCAGATGGACGCCTTCCTGTACATTGACTTCCAGCCTCTGCAGATGAATGGCGTCCCATCTTCGCGGCCTGAGGATTCACATGAGACAGAGAGTCCAACCCCATCTTCAGGCCCTCCGTTTTCCCAGAACGACCGATACGACTACCTCTCCAACTTCGATTCCACGGAGGATGCCATTTCTTTCGTGCAGATGTTTTTCGGAGATGACATCTCCGAAGACTTTATCTCTTACCTTCTGTCAGCGGCGGACTCGCCCATCATTTCTGGCGACACTTCGACATTTCCCTTGGACCCTCCTTTGGCTCGTCCCGCGACACCATCTACCCCACCGGAGTTGGAATCCGAGTCGCCACTCTCAACACCGCCTATTATGTTCGTCAATGTATCGGAACTCACATCTTCCCCATCGTCCCCAGCATCCTCTTCATTCTTCCCGGAGCAACTTCCTGACCCATCACCTTCTCCTGAGGCAAATGCACAGCCCGCTCATCAGGACCTCTCGCCATCTAGGATGCTACAGTCTGACTCAGAGGTGTCCTCAGCTTCGAACTCGCACAGGGAGTCTATGAGCCATTCACCACCGTCGGAATCCGAATTTTCCTACCACGGAGACGACGAATCGGATTCTGATTCTGCCTACTGCCCTAGTCAAGGACCCTCGACACCCAGAAAGAAAACTCGGCCGACCACGACGACGAACCACTTGAGCGAGAACGACAGCCGTGGCGATAAGAAAAGGCGCAGAAGGAAAGTTTCCGTTGCTCCGGAGTTCCGCCAAGACGATCAGGTTGAAGCAGAACCTCACACGTTGATTGCATCGATTCCGTTCGGCTCGAAGAAGACAGGCCCTCCCAACAAGGGCTACAGGCGATACGTTTGCAAGTACGAAGGATGCGAAAAGTGCTTCCTTCGAGGCGAACATCTGAAGAGGCATATCAGGAGCCTCCACATGCTACAAGCGTGCGCTCGACCTTTTCTCTCGGTTCCGGTGCTCACAGCTCCCTAGCTTATAAATGTCTGAAAAAAGGCTGCCTGAGGTCTTTCAGCAGGAAAGACAATCTGAAGCAGCATATGAGTATCTCCCATTGAGGCAATTGTCTCTCTCGTTGCCCATTTTCCCTCACCCGCAAAGCTAAGAACTTTTAACATTCTCTTCGTCTCGTTGCTCTCCGTTGAAATCCGTCGACTATCCTGAACCATATATGATACATCCATTCACCACTTTACACCGTACCGCTAGGCTTTGAACTCTCTTCACTTCAGACAGAAGTTATACAAGTAATAATTTCTCTGTACTCGCTTTGTTATGTATGTACGGAATTCATGATTCACATTGACTTAAGAAACTGTTGCGGACATGCGGAATTCCCTCTATCTCTGTGACATGGAGAAATGATTTATTTCCGGGAGGTCTCGCCTGCGCACATGAAGCCAAGCCAGTTGGCTGTGGTGCCGTCCATCCACCCTGAGACAACAAGCGCATCCAATTGCAGTGCTTGGCGGGAGAAGAGAATACGAGACGTTGGAGTAAACGGGCTGATGGGTTTGCCCGTACAAGCAGTCTTTGGGAATATGGATTCATTTCTGAACGAAACTGTCTTGAATGCCTTTTGCAATGGTATGTTTCCATCTCTAAAATAGGTACAAAATCTCACTGCTACTGCAGGAGTATACATGGGAATCTTGATTATCTCTCGCTATGGAGCATCATCCGGTGTTCGTTATGTCTGTGGTTTGGATCATTCAGATTTCCTGACATGTTGCAATAGCTTCTCCCAAGTGCCTTCAGATCGGACGACGACAAATAATCATGGTCTTGGTCATCATATGCCTTTTACATCATCGAAGTCATCTCCTTTTCTATTGGATGGTGGATCTTCGCCTGGTAGCTTGTTCCATATCTAACACGGTAATTGCCAGCTTTGGGTTTCTCGATGGTGTATCGAACCCGTCGGTCATTGGATTTGATGCAAATCCACCCCCGGGTCCGAAACTCGTACGAGCAGATGTGTTGCTAGCCGGAGAAGAAGGAGATTCGCGGGCGGCGACTAGGCCGGACTGGTCGAAGGACGGGACATTTCTGGTCTTCCAGTACCTATTGCAGCTCGTGCCTGAGTTTGCTGATTTCTTGAGGAAGCCTCCTATCATCATCATGCCCGGGCTTTCGCCTGAGGATGGTAGCGAGCTGAGAGATGCGAAGATGGTCGGAAGGTGGAAGAGCGGTAAGTCCAGTTTCGCTTAGAATTCTTTTGAAGGATATCTCAATGTATCTTCGTTAGGTGCACCTATCGGTATGCTGACAGAGCTCGCTTGAGTCACTCGTATCTTCATGTGCTCGCTTTAGATATCACGCCACTCAAAGATGACCCCGAATTAGCTGCCGATCCTCAGAAGTTTGTGATATTTATCCACCTATACCCTTCATCACGTTCATTTCATGCTAGGAACAACGACTTCAGTTTCGAAGGGGAGCGCGACGACCAGTTCCGGTGCCCATTTGCTGCTCACATTCGGAAGTCGCGAGACTAACATGTAATGATCGCAGGCTGGGAAAATTCAGTCAATTTTCTACCATTTCATCAAACGCCGGCTAAGCCAGGGTATGTCAAATTCATCCCTGATAATATTCTGGTACGGATTGATGTTTTCCGCAGATTCGATCCAATCATCGGACAGGCTGGAAAAGGAGGGATCAGAACGTTGTCAGGGACCGATCCTGCTGATCCCAATGTCGAGCTTGCTTTGATAGAGCAATCTGTTGTTCCTCGTGGTGGTGAATACTTCTTCACACCTTCTATCAAGAGTTTGAAGGAGACTTTTTGCGAGGGCATGAATTTCTTCTTGTTCCCAAATTTCCTGCTCTGTGTATCAAAGCTTTTTGGACTATGTATGGTAACCAACTACCTGTGTTCATTACACCCGCCCTGCTGACTTTTCATCAATGTACAGAATTTTTCGGTTTGTGATAAGATGAAATGACCTGACTACTGCCTGCCTACCTGTACATAACTAGTATTCAATCTTCTTTACTATTGCGAGAACCGAGTGGCTGATTTCAATGCAATGTTCCGGCCCAGAATGGCCCAGGCCTGGGGCGTTGCTTGTCAAAGGCTGTGCATCGTATCAAGGAAGAGTGGACATGATTCTTGTAAATTTTGATCAATCAAAAGTGAAACTGTTAGATGTCTGGAGCACACTTTATCACCTGAAACTTTTGTCTCATAAGTAAATTAGGAAATAAAAGTCTCGGTCACGGTACTTATAAGAGACCGACCTCAAAGCCCCTGCCCTGAACTTTGTCCATGACCGCCATGAGTACCTTACAATCTACCCTACAACGTGCGGTTTGGACACCTAGGTTACCACCAGAACTCATAAATGAAATAATTGACGCTCTGTCCGATGACGTTCCCTCTCTTACAGCTTGCGCATTGTCCTCTCGTCAACTTGTCCACCGCAGCCGCTATCACCTATTCCATGCCATGCACTTCGATTTCCTCCCAAATCGGTCGTCCAATCGCTGCGAAAATTTCTCGAAGAAGTGCCAAAATGTGGCGGCACTTGTAAGGACTCTTACCTTGAGCGAAAATCCCAACTGGTTCAATGCCCCCTGTCGTACGTGGGTTGCCTCTGAACCACAGCTGCCCATCGTCTTTGCAATGATGAAGAATTTGACGTCCTTGCATCTTGTCCAGGTGGAACTAGTCGGTATTAATATCGTCTGGCCTGAAGTTGAGGAATTGGAAATGAATCACTGTTCTGTGACGAACCTTGGCACCTTCCTCGGCAGGTTCCATAAATTAAACAAGCTAGCACTATACGACATAGACATTGTTGAAGAGACATCCTCACCGTCTGAAGTTTCCCTTGACCTTGAAGAATTAGTGATTACCCAGGGCAGCAGCCAATCGGACGTGCATACTATCAAGTGCCTCCTCCCACTCCTCTCCATGCCATCTCGTATTCGACGGCTTACCTACCCAATTTATTATCCGGAGCAAAACATCCCACAATACGACGTGATTCCTTATACGCACCTGGATGAGTTATTTCTAGTGGGAGCCTCCAAGCCAGAGATACCCGTTCCGGATATCCAAAACATTACCAGGCTTCGTTTGCTTGTGACCACCCCCTGGCGCTCATATCCGGTGGATACATGCAAAGACTACGACGAGATAACAGATTGGCTCATACACCTGCTACACAAAGCTCAGGGGGGGTGCTTAAAGGAGGTCCAATTGGAGTATGACCTGATTGGCATATCTGGGAGTCCGGACAAGTGGGCAGAGCTCGATGCAGTTTTATCCAAGATGGAATTGAGCAAGGTTGAGCTCGTGTTCAGCGCAACCCCGGAGGAGTGGGACGGAGAAGGAGAAGAGAAAGCCGAGTGGTTGTCGTGGGAAGGCGAGCTGGAGGGATTGACATTCAAAGGTGCTGCGTTCTTTGAACAAGTTGAAAGGCGCGGGTTGTTGACAGTCTCCAGACGATACCTAAGTTAATTTTGTATGTTTGCTACTATCTAGACGCTGCTATTGCGTTTTTGGACATTGAATCAGCTGCATATGGGATACAAATAATACAACTTGTGTTTTTCATGTCCGAAGACTTCGTTGTAGAGAAATAATTCTAAGATTTACTTGGCCGTCGCAGAACTCAATGGCCGGTGATGATTCAGCACCGGAAATAGCAACCACTGCGGACAGTGCGGTCTATACATTGCTTTCCATTTTTACCTTCGTCTAGGACCCTCATTGCCTTCTATTCGACCTCGTTTTCCGTGCTGGTTCTCGGTGTACCAGGGAGAGTACATACGCAGGTATTGCTGACTCAAAATTCTCGTCAAACCTTAGCAAATCGCCGCACGGAGACCACCATGTCTTTCCTATGGTGTTCTAATCAGCGAGAATCCGAATGCCAATGACCATTTTGTTAGACTGTTTGAAATTGCAGAAAGAAAAAAAGTGTCTTACCGGACACGCTGTTCCAGGATATTTTGTCCAAACTCACCAAAATGATGAAGTGATAAGCGTGTTGACGTGAGTGATGAGGACACTGTAAACAGCTTTGCACAGGATTTTAGCAGGTATGTGCCACTTGTCAGTCACTTTGAAGATATATGAGGCTTGGACGACGAATGGGTAATGTCCAGGGAGCTCGCGCACTGTATAATTACCAATGAGTACTTATAGCAACAGATAATAACACTTTAGATAAACACTTACTGAAGAGCCCTGGTTTGCACTTCATCCACATAGATACACTGATCCTCTCCAGATTCCACCACGCCCTCATCGTTTTCATGACCCAAAAAAGTCGGAGCAGCAAGCGTTAGATTACCAGCAAGGTTCCGCTCAAATGGACGAAACTGTGGAGCCGTCCCCCGAATAGCCCGTTTGAACTTTTTCCTGAGCCGGGCGGATCATCTGAAGGATCCCTTCCTCGTCAGGTGTATCCCTTCGACATGTCTAGAGAACGTCCATAGTAAACTCCGACAAGAGCGCCGGAATCTCGTGGACTCGAGGATTCTTCGGTGGCTCCTTCGGCAGTTTCGTGAGTTGCTGGAGGGTCCCCTTCGATAGATAGCACGTTTCGAGATCCATCTAGATGTCCGGCAGCCTAGAATGACTTGGGTATGAGAGTGGGTTGCATGAAGAAAAACACAGTGGTACGTTACCGCCTCGAGATCAAGTCAGATAAGATGTTGCTTAGGCGTTCGACAAGGCTCTCAGTGCGTACTAGATAGCGCTGGTACACAGGATCGAGAAGGCTTGTCCAGGCTGCTTCGAAACCGAAAGATCCTCTGAATAAAATCGGCCCGGTCCTTCGCCGTGCGGTGGCCGTTAAGAGAATGATCGATATGCTAGCAGAGGTATGTTTCTCTCAAATCTGTACTATCCATCTAGCTCAATTGTGTCCTAATGATAAGAGTCATCCTAGCGCCAAGTTGGCATGGAGTTTCGTATCCATGGGGGTCGACGTAAGATTTGGTTCTAAAGTAGATCGTCCGTCGAAAGTTGATGAAGACAATAGATATTGAAGAAACAAGAGGATACGAATGAACAGGTGGCAGAGCTCTATGGTATCATGATATCAGCCTACGAAGCGGCGAGCGAGAGCAAGGCCTTACGAGCTATAAAAAGGCTTGCCTTCGTGTATGACGCCCTTTTCAAGCAGACAATTTCATGCGCTCGGTTCATTGAAGGATACGCAAAGCAGAGCATTTTAGGTGAATATGAACTTTAGGGCTATCTATAAATACCATTTATGTCTCATCAATCAAGCCAGGTCGAGTGATCAGCGCTAACCTATCCAAGAAAGTCAAAACACTCCGGGAATAATTCCAAAAATTGAATACGAGGCTCCATTTGAAGATCTCTACGGAAACTTTGGATATGGCTAAGGCAGAGGAAGAATGGCGCGGTATGTTATTCACTTGATATCCAAAATTTCTTTGCTCAATCATGATCTTTCAGAAATGAAAGAAAACTTTAAAAGGCTCGCAGCTGCATCTGAATTACCCAATCAATTCGAGTTCGGCCCTACGTCAGCCTGCATGTTAGGCACTAGGGTCAAGGCTATTGATACGATAGAGAAATGGATTGACGACAGAAATGGCAGTACGTTTTGGTGCCGCGGCATGGCAGGAACGTGAAAGAGCTCGGTTATGGGGACCTTGTACCATAATTTAACAATGCGAGCCCGAACCAGAGGCTCATCACTTGCCGCCTTCATTCGATACGATCGTAATTGTCTTTCCACCGTGGATAATGTCAGACATACCACGAACAATCATCCTTATCATCGCGCACTCCCTGTGCAATCGAGTCCCAGCCATTTGTACTGCCATTTGTCGTGTTGACAATGACCGCACAGAGATCCTGGGTTTGCCGTCATCGTCGGCGAAGGAGCAGTTTGAATTGCTTCTCCTAGAGCCGCTGAACAGCATACGAGGGAATACCAGAAAACGGACCCTCCTTGGTCGTTATAATTGATGGATTGGATGAACGTCGAACTTGTAACGAGACACTTGCCGTTCTTGCAGAGGGATTCGGAACTGGTCTGCCTTTTATGCGTCTTTTTTATCAGCAGACCCCTCATCTCCGGACGCGAGTGCGGATATTCGGTTCTATATCGATTCACGTTTTCGTGCCATCTATAATGACGATGAACCATTCCGAATTCTATGTGGAGCACTCGATGTGTGAATTCAGATTGCAAATACTCAAGAGGTCGCTAAAGACTCCTTGGCACATCTTTATCAGACGGCTCTGGACGTCATCGTGTCCGAAAGGCCAAAAAGCACGGATTTGAGGCAGTATATCCATGATGTGCCAGCTGACATCGTCGTTTTAGGAGGACCAAACCATGTCTGGACTCTCGATAACATGGCGCCTCGACAGCCAGATGGCCCCAGACCATCTTATGTCCTGAAGATATTGGGGAGCGTTCTACAGGTTTGAAAAGGGATCATTATACTGCCAGTCCATCAGTCTTTCTTCGATTTTCTCCAGGACAAAGAATTATGCGGCGGGACGCTCCTTGTTTCCGTACCACCACCATGGACGGATTTCCCACACCACCCAGAGCAAGGAAAAGGTGACGGACGTCGAGCTAGACAGTATCCGAGCGTTCTGCAGAGCCCACGACCTCACCTTTCAACTACAAGATGATGTTGCATCCCAAAAGCACATCACTCACCGTCACTAAAGTCGCCGTGTCGGTAACCTCAGCAACCACATTGGTGACTATCACATTGCTACTCCTCCCTCTCGCATGGACCGCAGACGGGTCACAACACAAGATGCGTCGAAATGTTGTTGGGGCAGTCTGTGACCTCTTCTGACTGAGACGAAGTAATCATGGAGCCATGAGACAGGCAAATGAACTTGATGGTGCCTTTGTAGTCTATTTGAACCAAATATATCAAATAAGCTTTTGTGGCTGATATAAAGTTAACGAACCTGTGCACATTCTATGTCATGTAGATGACAGTTTATTTCTGTCGAGTTTCTGTAGAGGATTGAAGGACGGGTTGTTACATAAAATTGAGGAGTGAGCGAAAAACGGAACACGCCCAAACGGTCTTGGCATGATCCACTCTATGGAACAGATTCGATGATCTGTACGTGTCTGTCTATACAGAACGAAATCAGGAGCGGTGATAGTTTCCCCTGGATAGCGATCGCAACCGAATTGAGAGTGACGTCCAGCTTTACTGCAAGTGAATCGAATTAGAGGAACTCCTACGAGGAAAGTAAGACTGGCTGGTGACGAAACAAGAGAAGAGGCCCGATGCAAGATGCGATAAAATACATTGAAAGCGGAGCTGAAGGAGGGCAAGTGAAAGAAAAGTAATGGAGAGGAACAACGACGGCACAGTGCGGCTGGAAGATGCAACGACGACGACGACGAAAGACTCACATATACCTATCCCGAATGTATGACCGTGGTAGGTCAATAGCATAAATATATATGACAAAGAGGACAGAATCGTCCTCACCTCGGATTCCCACTAGTCTCGCACGAACGCCCAGATCCCGTGGTGGCGAGGGCGACGAAGAGACCTACCTACCAGAATGTCTAAAGAAAGATGCGAGGCCAACTTTTCTTCTTCCGAAGGATAGATCATCTTTAGCACAAGCAGCGACCTCCTTACTTTCGGCTTGTGCGAGGACCACTTGCTGTGCCATCTGAGCTCTTGAGTGATTACACGTAAAGGGTTTCTTCAGCACAATCCCCGCATTCTTTCCCGTTACAAAACATGCACAAGAAAGGGGTGAATAGTCCAATCGTCTAAAAGCCAGTAGTCACAAAGGGCCGATTAGCGCAGGTCTACGGGTATCATTTCATCTATTCAGAAACATGAAGCACCACAAGGTAGGAATAGTTTAACTACTCACAATTAACCAACGCGGTCCACACACTTATCTTATGACGGTCCAGACCCATTGCAAATTTCAAGCACCACATCACTACGAGCCTCCTTCAGGCACTCGAAAAACCCAATAAAATACTCTCCGCATTAATCCGATATACTGCGTTATAGTGCTACAATGTCAATCTGAAAATCAGTGATTAAAAAGCAAGAGATCTGTATCTATATAAGAGCTTTTTACGGATCGTAAACCATAGCATCCCTATCCTCAGCTAGTAACCTAGCATATTCGAGGCACAGTCGGTAGACATAAGCTGGAAAAGAGTCAGATGAGAGGGGGGAGGGGAAACATTTCAAAAAGATAGACCGCATACCATCCATATCGATTGGCCTGTTCATGGTCTTTTTCCATTGCTTCCCTGCACGGGCAATCCGCCTTAGTTGGCGGTCCGCCGTTTGTGACATATGTGCATCGTGCCGTAGGATCACACCCAGACTCTCTGCAGCCTCAACCGTCGCAGGCGAGGGACCGGAGAAATACGCGTGGATGTTGTATATCTCCTTGTACGTCGTCGATAGCGGGATGTAATGTACCCTAGTAACGACGAACGTGAGCAAAACAGATCGGTGTTCATGAAGAAACACTTACCAAGGCTGTATCCAATCCGAATAGAACTCCTTGTACATTGTAGCCTTGACAGGGACACTGTCGCTAGCAAGGAATGCCATAAAGCGCCCGCTGTAGCTCATGCCATCAAGGTCAACGATGTACTTGTACCTCCAATTGTACCCTAGCCACACAGCGTCACCGAACCGGTGGTCCTTGACTAACTCAGTTAATCCGCCAGGATAAGCCTCGGGGTTGGTGGCCTTAGTGAAGGCGACATTCATGATGTCGTCGTTGAGTTTTCCCATCGATACAGGAACAGACACAAAGCGCGAGGACGATGGTGGGTCCTCGAAGGTCACGGTCCGGTTATTGTTACCGATCTGTGACGCCATTCTGACAAACCGTTGGCGGTGATACTGGGGAGAGAAACCACTCGGATTGTTCCCTCCACCGATAGATGAGCCTCGCCAGAAGACTTTGTCCAACTTGTGCTCCCACGGTACTTCCATATCGTCGGTCTCCTTCAATTCCAGGTTGATGGGATCCCAACCGTAGGTATACCGCTTGGTGCTTCCGTAGTAGTAGTGGCTGGGAATCTTGATATCCATGAAACCTTTGGCCTTAGCCGGACTAAACACGGGGTAAAGCACGGGTATTGTTCGCCAATCGGAGAAAAAGAGTCCTTGCTGGTAATGTGCATGTGGAAGAGTACAAAAGTCGAGGTTCGCCGAAGTGGAAGACAGGAAGTTGAAATCATTGCCTGGACGTTGCGTTCCGGACATATAATCGATAGGTTGGGCGGAGAAGACGTTCTTGGTGGATGCGTACAGACGGCGCGCGGGAGACGTCGGTTCGCATGTTCGCCGCATAGCCTCCCATACGTTACCGTCGCCACGCCAATCCGGGATAAATTCTCCGCCGAGCATGCTTTCGACACCAGCTGAAGGGCAATAACATCAGATGAGGAAAACAGGAGAAGGCGTGTATGCTCACCTGTAGAATCTTGATTTGTAAGATTTGTATACTTCCTATGCTCCCATGGTACGGTAACGCGACCTTCGGCATTGGCATTGACGGGGAAATCCATGTCAGGTAACTGGCGCAACCCAAGTCAGCCAGTATCCTCGCAAACGTAGGGTGTACGCACAGTATGAACGAATTTCTCCATCATCCTATGCAATCCCTGGGCTCTAGCGCTGACATCGCCATTCTCGTAACCCCTGTTTAGATTGAGCAGAGTCGCCTTGCCGTTCCGTACTCTCACAAGGTCAATTGAGGGAAGCTCGGCAGCCTGTGTGCTCATCGTCAGCAAGGACAACCTCCTCTCGGGTCGGTCAGTGTTCGCATACCTGTCGGGACCGTCGACGAAGCTCTTGTCCCGGCATGCTCCAAAATGGTTCAAGGTCTTCCATCAGCCCATCGTACTCATCTACCATGATCACGTCGTTATCCTTGGCGAAACGCCACCAGGCATCGAAGCCCTTCGGCGGCGGGCGGCGGTACCGTCGTTTGTACTCCACGACAGCATCCTCCAACGTCTGGCTCTGCCGCGACACCTTGGCCCGGTACTGTTCTTCGGCTGCCTCTATCAGCTTCGGTATCGGATGGGTATTGATAGTCGCCACAGAACTCGTTTCCGCTAGCGAGAAAACCGATTTTGGGGTACCCAATCCAGTATGGCTCCTGCTTTCTGCCCAGAGGCCGGCTTGCAGAAAGACAATAAAGACGCAGACCAAAAAGATATAACCGCTATGTCGCGCCCATTGCACTTCAGGACGGTCAGTAAGCCGCATCGTCCTTGTCGACGACGGATATAAAAAGCAGAAATGTGGTCGAGGGCGGCCTGAAGGGTATTTACTGGTATTTGCTCCCGGAGGTATTGGCTTTGGTAAACGACTGGATAAGGGTATAGGAAGGTGGGAGAGTCGGGGAATGCCGAGGTTTGATCGATCCGATCTTTCACGCTTCCTTCGTGAGTTCAACAGTCACTTGATATGCTACGGCCATGAAGAATGCGTAGAAGCGGACAGTTCCAGCCTTAGCTTTCCCTTGAAAAGGTATATCATTTCTCAGCGGTACCCGGTACTTTCAGAGGCAGATGCTGACTACTTTGGAATTCCCATCCAGTGACGCTGAACAGTTCATGAACAGTTCTCCAAATCTTTCTTCTTGTAGTTAGGACAAGAACTATGCGCTTTACCCCCCAGGACCTTTGGCGGGAGTTACCGGTTTCACGAGCTTCGGGGGACGGAGATAACGGCTTGCGTCAAAAGTTCCATCCTCTTTTAGAACGTAAAAATCACCCAGCAGGATGTTCCCCCGCGTCTGATTACCTCCAGCACCGAAACCTCCTGGCTAACTCGCTTTTACACGGCCCGATCCGTAGTCCGTGGAAGATGGTCCGACATGACCGACCGAACCCACTACTCGACTCGGAAATCCGAATGACAAGAAAGTAATTTCATCTAATACTATCTATATTCACATCCTTTTACCCATGCCTTCACAACTCTTCCAGCCTGTTAAAGTGGGTAATATGACCCTCAACCATCGCATCGTCATGGCACCCTTGACGCGATACCGAGCCACCCAGAAGACTCGTATTCCACATGTATCTGTAGTCAAGGAATACTACTCCCAGCGTGCAAGCGACCCCGGAACGCTCCTTATCTCAGAGGCAGCATGGATTGCCCAGAAGGCTGTCGGTAGAGACTACAATCCTGGCGTGTGGAGTCGAGAACAGCTTGAGGCATGGAAAGAGGTATTTATTATACACCACCCGTCGTTTAATCATAAAAAGTTATCATCCCAAAACTGATCCGTTGCTCCACTCAGATAACAGACGCCGTCCACGCCAAGGGCAGCTTCATTTTCTGCCAAATCTGGTCTCTTGGGCGCGCGGCGGACATTACCTCACTACGAGAGGAGGATCCGCCACTTCCGTATACCGCACCATCCCCCATAAGACTGACAGGGAAGGAGGAAACTCCAAGAGAACTCACTGTGGAGGAAATCCAAGAATACGTACGAATGTACGCTCAAGGCGCGTCCAAGGCTGTATACGAAGGTGGATTTGATGGCGTAGAGATCCACGGTGCGAATGGGTACCAGATTGACCAGTTCATACAGGACGTATCCAACCAGAGGACGGACGAGTACGGGGGAAGCGTCGAGAACCGAGTCAGGTTCGCGCTGCAGGTAATAGACGCCGTGGTCGAAGCTGTAGGGGCAGAAAGGACCGGCTTTCGAGTGAGCCCCTGGGCGCCCTTCCAAGGCAAGTTTCTCCTTATTTCACAAGCCGTCATTGACAATCTTTTCCGACTCCACCCCCCCAGACATGCGCATGGAAGACCCGGTTCCGACGTTCTCTTATTTGATGTTAAAGATCAAACAAAGGCATCCGGACCTGGCGTACATCCACGTTGTCGAGCCCAGAATCAGTGGTCCGTTCACCCGGGACGACGTGTTGCCAAATGAATCAAATGATTTCATTCGAGATATATGGGCCCCGAGGCCGCTTATTTCAGCAGGGGCGTACACCAGAGAGAGCGCTATGGATACAGCAGATACCAAAGGTGATATCATCGCTTTCGGGCGATACTTCATTTCCAACGTGTGTTCCCTCGATACGACGAACTTGAGATCGGTTCACTGACTGTTGTTCCTTTAGCCGGACATCACATTGAGGTTGAAGCATAGAATCCCTTTATCCCCCTATGACAGACTCACTTTCTACATTCGGGGAGATGCTAGTGGCAAGGGGTACACTGATTATGCTGTTGCCGTGGTAAATTAGTATGTATACTTGCGAATAGTCTGAGCACCCCATGCATCGGATTTTGCTACTTCCAAATTTCAAATTCCAGGATTAAGATCATTGTAAATAACAACTTACAAGTAACGAGTTCCAAATTCACTTTTGAAGCAAAAAAAAAAAAACCTTGGTACTATCATCGATAGTGCATTAAGGGGGAATCGAACCCCCGGCGGGTCGACATTCACATGGCAACGACCCAGGTTACCACTACCCCATTAATGCCGATATCTTTCTCTGAACTAACACATATACAATAATAATAGGATAACATCAATGTCCTATATACCAATATCTCATTTTGCGCACCGCACACAACACGCGAGTCTACGAAGAGAGAGACATAAGAAACACACCACACCCAAAGCAGAAAACAACAAGAAGAAACGCACACGAATCCTCTGTCTCCATCTCTTCAACGCCAACACATACATAGGCTTCGGATCACTGAACGACAGCATATCCTTTTCGCCCAACCACGGCCACTGCTCCGTGGAAACATGTCCATTCGAACTTGGCGGGACCCACTGGGCCGGGAAAGCCTCCATTGAGGACATGTCCTAAAACCAAGGTAGTAAGCCGAGGTAAACCTGCCAGCACATCCCCCATAGACAGAACAACGAGCGACCCACCGGAGCGAAACTCCTCATATGCGAATACGGCCCATACCAGCTTGGCCTAGGGGCGTACTGTTCAAGAACAGTGAGTCCTAAATAGCAACGCCATCAAGAACACCGTCCGACGTACTCCATTCGCGTAGATATAACTTGCCGACCCGCTGTATGGGTGATTCATTATCTGAAGGCAAGTTTCAGAGTCGGATCCAGGACTAAATAGCCCTAGGGCAGCGTTGCACTGAAGAAGAACGAGCTATAAAAACTCGAACTGATATGACACTTGGTGGGAACAAAGAAGTTCGCCCGTGAGAGGTATCGCCATATGATATCTTGGAACCCGGGGTGTTCATTATAACATACCATACAACGAGGACTGGACAGCCCTGCCATTACATCAGATTATCCATCAGATCTTATCCAAATCATCCGATAAAGACCAATGTTTGATACAAATGATAGACTGGCCGAATCGTCATCGTAAATCCACAATCTCCAGCGACATACCCTCTTTCATCTGAACATGTCCCTTATCGGCGTCCTGACAACAAAACGTCAATCAGTAGGACTAGAATCCGCGGGAATGGATACACGCACGGTATATATAGGTTGATCCGGATGGGGATGGAACGCCTCTGTAGCAGTGCAGTTCAAAATCGTCTGCAGACCTGGGGGATCTGTGAGGCGGAAGATACCAAAGCTGTAATGGTGAGACGATTAAGCTCCAAGGATGACCATTTCAGAATCAGAAGACGCACTTGGGGTTATGTCTGGGTGCGCAAACAACTGCAAAAGATTCGGGAAGCATACGTTGAAACCCGGAGTGGGTATGCAAGTCGACAGACGACATAAAACCTATCCGGAATTGGGATGTTAATCAGCGACAGTGCTTCGAGATAATCAATTATCAACATACAGGTTTGTGTGGGGTGCGTATGGATCTATCAAACAACGCTTGTCAGCAGATACCCTCGAAAGTCATAAACAGCGACAGCGCTCACCCATCCAAGAGTAATCAAGTTCCTCTCCTCCGTAAAACGTAACACCAGCTCCTCTCCGTCCATTGTACATGTGTCACTCGTCGAGTGCTGCTTCGGTATCAACATCGTCGTGACAACAAATTTGTGGCCCTTGTCCTTCCCGAGCAAGAGTCCACAGGTCTCTCGATTTATCATCGTGTTGACTTTTGCGATCGCTAGGAAACGCGGCAGACACTCGCGAGGCAGATTCACGTGTTTAAGCTCCCGAGAAGACGAGTTTGGACGGGGTATTCGATCCGAGTCAGAGCGTGTAAGGTGAGGACGCAAACCATAGTGATGATGGTGACTATGACGCTGAGCGAGATTAGGATAAGCGACTGGTGGAGGCGGTTGGGATGGAGGATAAGGAAAAAAATTCGGGGGATATAGTTGTTGAGACCTGTTAGGGTATCCTTGATCCAACAGAAGCGGTGAAACAACAACGGGAGCTTTGGTGGACGAGAACATAGAGTTGAGAGAAGGTGAGTATCCTTGCGTCTTTTGGTGCTGGGTCATAAGCTGCGGGTACTCTATTGGTCCTCCGTCAGCGGGTGCCGGTGAAGTCGTTGTTATCGGAGGCGGATAAAGAGGTCTAGCCAAACACGGTTTAAGAACACGAAAAGGGGAAAAAACGTGCTGAAATACATACCGAGAAGGGCCTGCCCTGGTGGGCGTTCGGTTATTATCGATGAATGCCTGGTGTCTCAGCCTCGCGCGACGATACGAGGACGCCTGATGCTGCGGTGCCTCAGAGTCCGTAGAATCGCCCTCATACCGAGTCGGGCTTTCAAGGGGCATCATATGGGGTTCATCATTGATATTCAATTGAGAAAAGTCCGCCGTAACATCGGAGGTCCGCGAAGGGCCTGCGGTTGGTGTAGATGAAGCTGCAGCTTCGCGAGAGGCTAACCGGGCTGTCGGGAGTGGCGGATAGCGTGACGGTGGTGGCATAGGAGGGAGCTGAGGAAGTTGCTGGTATAATGGTGCCGTATTGTGCATTGATGCCGAAGGTATAGGAAATTGGGCAGTAGGCTGTGCGATTGGTTCGGATGATGGTCGTGATGATGAAGAGGTATTGGGGATCTGGCTCGACGTCGACGGAACGGGCATGGCCATAGGCGGCGGCGGTGCGCTCATGGCTTCACGCATAGTCAATGACAAAGGGGGTAGTGCCGGGGGAGGTGGGATAAATGTTGCGGCGTTACTCTCGTCAATCCTTCTCCGTTCATTCTGCGCGTTCCCCTCCGCCTGCTGTTGTCGCTGCATCATCTCCTGCATTTGCTTCCTCCTCTCCTCGTTCCGCTGAGCAATTTTCTCGGACCGGATCCGCATCTCCTCTTGCTGCTTACGCTTTTCTTCCTGAGCATTGGCCTGGGAGCTAGTTCCGCTTTCTGTTGGTAAGGGAGCTCCTGCTGCCTGTCGTGCCGCATCTAGGACGGCAGCCGTACGTCTATCTGAGTAGCCATTTGGCGCCACAGCGGCCACGCGTTCCTCCGCCATCTGTCGAGTGATGTCCTCAGTTTGCTTTCTCCACATAACTTCTTCATCACGCCACTGACGTTGTTGTTCTGGAGGCAAATTTATCCGTGGCGACTCAGTCCGTCCTCCTTGAGAGCCATTCATATGACGAGTAAGTGATGTCGGAGTTGGAGTATGAACCCCTTCCGGTTGCTGCGTCGCACCGCCATACTTGCGATCCCACTCTTCCCGTTGCTTTAACAGTTTCTCTTTTACACCTGAAAGGTCGGCAAGTATACGTTCACCATTCTAAGGAAATAATCAAATTAGAATGCTGCTATAATGAAATAAAACAAGCGCCCGTAACCTGGGAGGACATTGCCGAGAAAAAAGGTTGGGCGAACTCACTTTCGCCAAAGATGCCTTCTGCTCTTCATTGAGTGCCTTTTCATAATCAGGATGAACCGCTATGACTTCCAATGCTAGTTTACCAGCACTAGCATAAGCGATGAATGCATTTTGGAGGTCTAGCTCCTCCTCATAGGCCAGGCCCCGGTTGCGCCAGGTATCTGCAGCCTTCAATAGGGTCTTGATGGGTATCCGGTTATCCTGAGACACGACGGCGCGCGCTGCAAGGTCGTCAATTGTCGGAGGTCGAGGAGGACAAGCCCCTGGCGGCGGATAACGAGGCGACGTTGAAGACATGACGGGTCAAATTCAGCGTCGTATAAGGGAAGAAATGGGAGAAGTACAAAAATGGCGGCGGTAATGATAGTGGCACAAGAATAAGGGTAGCTTCCCTCGTCGAGGCTGCGCTGGTCCTCGGCATCACGTGGTCGACTGTTTTAGGTCCCGAGCCATTAGGGGCCATTTTCCTCGGAGTCATTTCCAGGTTCCAACGGGATTTATGTAAATCGTTCTGCATGTTGATAGAAAACGGAGGTTCACTATCGTTGCCTCGTGTTCTACATTCGCGCCCTTAAACGCCGGCGCCAAAACCTTGGATTATCAATTAATTGATAACATCTCTACCCCGGATTTCCATGCAATAACGAAACCGTATGTGCCCTGAACGGCTTGTTCCCAAGGGGCGCTCTTGCGGTGCCGAACAAGTTAGTTGAAGGAGAATATGCACTACGGAAAAAAGAATAGTAGAAATGAAAGGGAGAAGAAGGAAGTTGGGAAATAGTTGTCGGGCAACGGAAATGACGTAGCTACTACCTAAACGTGAAAAAGGGAAGAGTAACAAATGCGTACCATGCCGTCCATCGTGTGCTCAGTCAAAACGGCGACGATGCGGTGAGAGTATTAGTAACGGTATCCATTACACCATGTGGATGCGTCGAGTTGAAGATAGCTTGCCGAATCCAAACAAGGCTTTCACAACTATTCGTTCATTTCGGCCTCCGGAGGGTAACTTCATCGAAAAACCACATTACGAGAGTTGTCAGATTACCGTGAGCACCCCCAACCCGAAAAATTGGCCGGAACTCTTCTTACACGTAAAGAGCAGAGAGTGCCGGTTATCTAGTTTGAGTTTCTACACGCAGGGCTCCGTTTCTCCTATCAATAACTTTTCTGAAAAGCAGGGAATATTATGCCAGTCCAAGGGTCGATTCGAGCCAAGATCAACGCAGAAGATGACGTTCGCACTCCAATATGTAACCGAGATAGCCCCAGAAAACTCCCAGAGATGTGTGCAGGACACACGAATTGACACTATATCACAGGACATGCATCCATGTGCTGCCAAAGAAGCCATTAGCCTCGCTTGCGTTCCAGAATTTCCCCACATGATCCTGAAAGCAAACCCATAAGCAAATGACCCTCAGTGCGTGGACAGAGAAAGCGGTGTTGTATCAAAATGAGAGTGGAGCACTCCTGATAAAACTCGGCCCGACCTTTCCGAACTTTCTTTCCGTCAATAAATCTTCGAGATTTCACCCACTGCGACCTGAAAGATCAACGAGATGTACAAAAGCACGGAGGCAGATTCTCGAAAAAAAAAAACCTGCCCACGCGCCAGTCATGTGAACCGTTATCAAAAACCTCTCCCTGGCAGGGGTCAGTATAAAACCTTACCTCATCCAAAGGTGCTCGGGAATGTCGGCCCGGAACAGTCGGTAGGGTGGTTGGTTCGCCTTGGAAGGCCTGAAAAAAATTTTATAAGAATCCCTATTATTCCTTGTGCAAGGACTGACTGTGATTAAGTTCCATCTATCCTGTTTAGGTAGGAGTCGAGTGCCCAAGAATTGGGTGTGCGACGCCTGCCAAATTCAGAGGCATTGAGGGGAGGTTGCAATGAAACTGCCGGAAACGGCCATATGGCCTAGTCATGAAATTAATGTCATATATTATGTCATTGTCCATCACGTGGTTAGGTGGGTACGCCTTTGAGGCCTGAGAATAAAATTTCGACCCAAAAATTGGGTTTGGCGAGGACTAAAAGCTCAAACCGTATTTCTCAATGGCCAACGTGGGGATCGAACCCAAGACCTTCGTGTTATTAGCACGACGCTCTAACCAACTGAGCTAGTCGGCCATACACTAATGGATTTTGTCACTTATAGAAAACCAGCAGCAAAAAGCTGATTAAAACCTAAGCTGGTCACCAGTCAAATGAGATAAAATGACCACATTCCCTCCTCGAACGGGAATGGAGACAATTTCTCTTCATTCCACGCTTTGGCGCGCAGTAGCCCAATTCCACCGCATCGCATCTACGTGCTCTTCCAGCATCTATCCATCAGGATCGCACTGTATACGGACTACTCGATATTCATTTCTGCATTTTTGGGAAGTGCATGAAATCGGGATATTCTTCTTGATTTCATGTGATATCTGCCGCAGTCAAGTGGACAGGAGGAAGGCACGACGAGCATCGCACAGCTCACGAACGAGATGACGCAGGTCTTTGGGACCGTTAGCGTAGCACCTCAGAGCAGCAGTCTCGGGGAGCGAGGTGAGTAGCTGGGCACGTAGTACACAGGCTGTTGTGGGGGGCAGTGGGATTCGGCGGAGTAAGACGCTTGACGTCAGTCGGTGCCACTTGGCGAGTCTCAACTCGAGGTCTGCTTGTTCTCTGAGTTCTGGTGGAGATATCCGAGGGCATCTCTGGCATGCTGAAGGAATCGTCGGTGAGAGGAATCAGGCTGCCTTCGTAGAGTACTGCAGGAGGAAGGACAGTGCACTGGATGTAAGGGAAAGTCATGATGCCCTGCCAGTCGATGTACGATAGAACGTTAGCTGCTTCGGCGATTATGTTGGACTGAGAGAGATCGGGGTGGGTGAGGCGCGGGAATGTCAATACTGGCTCCGACGAGGGATTCAAGTAGGGCGCTAGGGATATGCATTACTGTAAGAGTTGACGCACTTCGGGGAGGTCATGGGGTTTGGACCTGCTGAGGAGCAAACTGGATGAGAGGAGGTGGCGCTGGCTGCGTGAGATTCGGTCCTGCGCAGTGCTAACTGGCAAGTGGATTGTATGGAAGAGGTCATATCAAGCCCTAGGGCGGTATTCAGTTCAATTCGAATACAGCATGCGAACTTACAAGGACCACGATCGCCCTCTACAGCGTTGCCTGTCAACAACAGGCCCAATACGATTCTTTTCTGCAGCAGGCTCTCTATTGTACTCCTCCTTCAAGTACAGAGGCCTCTTCTACAACTCCAGGCTGACATCCTCCTTGAAGAACAGACTCCCAGTCTGCGAAAAGAACTTGTCATGGAGGCGTGCATCGAAGAAGACAAGGTCTTTCAGTGTAGCGCCCATATCCGCGTCAAAACTGTTCAGCCAGTGGTCCTCCATGTATCCTCTCCATGAGGATGAAATCTGCTCCTACGGCGGACCTGAGTTCAGGAGTCCCGCCCAGGCTAGACGCGCGGTGTGGGTTCTCCGAATATCTTTCGTACGTATTCCGTGGTGGCCACTTCGCCGGCTGTGGACATGTGCACATTACCCACGAGCGCGGAGGGTATCCGTGCGATGGCATCAGCCCCGTTGTCAAATCCGAGAAGAAAGACTTTGTATTAGAACGGAGTAATGGAAAAATGAATGGTGCCAGTAAACCTTGAGCGAAGCTTTCGAATCGTACGCGCAAGTTTTCGCTCCAACGGCTGATGACGACAACTTCGTTCGGTAAGTGATGCGAGACATTGTCTAGTATTGACAGCCAAGGTAGTACGGAGCGCGTCGTTCCATAACCACTCTCCGTCGTGGTCTAAATAGCTTCCCACTGTTGACATGCATTTTGTGGTACGTTGAAGAGAACGATATGTGGACGCCCGCCTCGTGAATCGTGGTTGTATGGGCATAAGTCATTCCAGGTTACGGTCTTGGAACGGCAAGGTCAACTTTTCAGACCAACAGTGCACAACATCTATTTTCTATCGACAAAGAAATATACGCACTAGCGTGTGCTCATTGTGTAGATGTCTGGAGGAGCGGGACAAGGTGGTTGGAGGGAGTCAACAAGTCAACATTTATTTCGGCAGTTACCGCGGCAAGCCTTTCGTATGATCCACCGCCGTTCATCTGCTTTTCTTCGTTGTCGTTCCATGACATAATCTCTGGTTTTATTCTTCAAGGATTCGAATAACGTAAAGGTGTTCATGTTTGTTATGCCATGATTTATTTCCAAAGTGGCATAGCTTGTAATAATGATTTTTTGTTGTGGTGCTATAACGCAAGCATATTAACAAGGTTAATTTACTTACAATGTTGGCAGCGAGAATGGGACCATCCAGGGAAATGCTTTAGAGCATGCCCTTTTCAGGACAGTGTGGGGCTTAGACTCGCTTGGCTATTCCGTCCACTGCGGTCCGATCCGTTACCCACTAGAACCCCGGTCGTCCGGATCCAGTTGTCCGGTAATTTCTCTCCGTCTTGTTCGAATAACAACCCATCCCAGGTGTCGAGGACGAGCTTTAGGTCCGAACCTGTGCTTGTCGGTCATCCATCGGTCCTGTTGGTTCATCACGCTGCGCCATCTCCATGCAATTTCATCTCTGTTAAAGCAACGCTCTAGGTTATCTTCCCTTTCGATTCGGCACTCGCAGCCAAGTTTCCATATGAGAAAATCCACTCCTGGGACCAGGATGTGAAAGGCTTGCTTCATTCCTTTTGTTTTGCTGTCGAGGTCTTTGGATTTCCTTGAGCCGCTGCTCAGGACCATGCCCAGCGAGGGCATTGGCCAGTAGTCATTTTTCCGTAGCCACAGGTCTTTCGTAAGATCACAGATCTGTTGTCTTTCCGGTGACTCACATTTTGCCAGGATATGCTCGATTGTTTCTGGGACCCTGTAGATTGGGTAGATCCCTCTGTGTTCGTAGTTTGGGATATGGTCCCAGTACTCTCTGACTTTGTCGGTACCATGAGTGACCTCCATAGGAATATTTGAATTGTCTTCCGTATGTCTCTCGAGGTAAAGGATGACCCGATCGCGGCTTCCGTGGGAAGGTATCTGAGTCCTCGGCAATGTTCCATCTCGCCATAGCAAGGTTCTGCCGTGTTGCTCTGTGATGTCTCTGTTTTGCTCTTTCTCTCTCTGATCAGTTTGTAGGCAGTTGCTTGTATAAGTGTGGACAGTTTCGCTCCGGTCAGTTGGCCATTTATTCCTTCATTGATAGTCTCGTCGATGACTATTGGGTTTGTTCTAGAGCAGCTATTAGTCGCAGCATTTTGGCTCTCATGGTGTTCCATCGTTCCTGTCATCACCAGCTGAAAGACTGTTTTCCCTTTTCTCATCCGGATGTAATAATGATTTTGGACCTTGCAAAGGTACAGTTGGGCCCGCCGAAACGCCAAGGATGGCCATGAAGTTGGCCACGATCACCCTGCAACAACGCGTTCCAGGTTATCAGGGACCAACATACCAACAGTCTTGCTGACATCGTCTGACGAATCCTTGGAAATATCAGCAAGTAAGTATTATTGCCTGACACTCGTATAATACACGACTAAAATTTTAATTCCCCAGATGTCCTCGTATTCTTGACACCCCTTGGCTTTCCATCAGATCCGAGTCCTATCACTGCTGTCATGGTGCATAGATGACTCTTAAAAGCCTGATCAATGATCTTCTAAACCATTCCGGCCAGTCAAAGCCGAAGCCCTAGGATAAGTATCGCCAACTATTCATACTCATTCGCCGAAGGAGGGATAACATTTACAGAATTAAAAAACTAGTACCAGTCTTTCTGTTTGAGCAATGCCTTTCGCCGTCGCCATATCTCCGGAGTGCGCCATCTCCTTGACGAAATCATCCCCTCACGTCTCCACTCCGCCAACCCGCGCACACTCGAAGGGAGCTGAAGGAGATAGAACGACGACACCGCGCTCACCAGCCGATTCCTCAACTGCGAAAATCGGCTGAAAAGGCGGTAGGTCGCTCCCAGGACAAAGCATGGGTGAACGAGCGAGGAGATCTTAAGGAGCGGCAAGGTGGAGGGATGATGCTTGGACAGGAGGGTCGAAGAACTGGGGAAAATAATGTACACGCGGCGCGTCACGCTTGTAGGGAATAGATTGTACGTGTATTCTTGCACTGGGATAACCTGAGAAAATTTCGCTTTTTGGTCTATTGAAGGGAGGAGTCTGAGGAAATCTGACGGCTTACGTTCGTGAACATCCTGCGAAGGTCAGGACAGCATTTTTGGTTGTAATCCTGGAGGTCATATATACGCCGAAGGGTCTCGTCCGTCGGAACGAGTGTCCATTGATCATTTTCCAGTAGTTCCTTCATATCCGAGCGTACTAACAGCCACAAGTCACGTAAGTTCCGGGCGGCCAGAGAGAACGACTTACGCCGAACGTGATTTAAGTGAGATTCCCGTTCAAGGTCACCTCGGGAAAGGCCCCAGTAGAATTCCATTCTGTATACCTTGGTGGATTTACACGTGTTAGAATCCTGCGTGATGGAAAACAGCATGAGACGTGCGGCTACTAACGTCTTTGGCACGTAGAGTAAAGTGATAATCCTCCAAGGCAGGGAGAGAATTAGCAGAGTCCGCCGTGGTAAGGCATTCTAGTGGAACGTAGCAAGCAGGTTCCATAGGCTGTGGTGTTAAAGAAGACAGGAAGCCCGACAATGCCAGTTTCTGCTTTTAAGTACAAGGTGCAGGTAAGTCTCGTGATCTCCAATGCCACCCGAGCGCAAGGTTGTATTATTGACTAAAAGGTGCAGCTTTAGAAATCCCACTGGCAATGGCTCGATTTCACGAAATCTAAGAGAACGTCTGTATACTCCCCGAAATTCCGGGTATTCGAGTACCATTGTCACTTTCAAAGATAGATTTAATCACATCACAATGCATTCAGCCTCTCTCAGAATAACAGTAGATACTTACAAGGATCAACGTCACCAACCACAGGTTTCTCTCAACCAATCCAGTATTGGTTATCAACAACAGGTCCAATCCGATACTTTCAGCAGCAGGCTCATTATTGTCCATCTTCCTCAAGTAGAGCCGTCTACTCGCAATGCAGGACTAACATCCTCCCTTGAAGAACAGGCTGATAATCAATTCGAGAGAACGGATGCTGGTTCGTGTCAATCAACTCGCACAGGACCACTACGATATTCTCGACAAAGGCGCTCGACCAATGGTGCTCCCTGTATGTCCTCCATGAGGATGAAATCTGTCCCTTAGCGGCTCGAGTTTCGAGTGTCCTGCTCCATGCCAGATTCGCGTGGTGTGGGCTTGTTAAAAACTTCTCGGACATATTCCACAGCACCGATTTCGCTGGCAGTGGTCATTCCCCACTGGTGCTCAGGGAATCCTCCCGATTGCTTTGGTCGCTTGCGAGGAAAAACTGGTGCTAGACTTCTTGATAATCAATGCATTAGTAAGTACTGGAGGATGGTCAATCAAGGGTTTTAAAGAAAGGGACGGAGCCAACTGATCGGTATCATATGTAGAATACAATGTGAATGCCAGCCCATCTTCTCTCACTGTGTATATACAAGTGACCAGCTTTCCAGAAGCACTTCTTGAGGACTGGCCTATATGGTGAGATGAGCAATCAGTGAATGACAAGATCAGGAAACTACCTTGTAGGCTGTCAAAAGCTGCCAATGCCAGATATACACACAAGAATGAGCCTTCAAGAATAACAACTCCCACGTCATATGGAAACTTAGATGCCTGAGGTACACTGTGAGGGGAGATGACTGCCCAGAGAAATGACATACAGCAAACAAAATCCAGACTAACTGGCTTGAATTAATAAACCAGAGACTGGAAGGGAACATTAAAGGATGAGAAGTCACTACCAGATGACTGGATGGATCAGTATGGGGTTTTAGTGGGTATGGAGCCAACCGGTGGGAGACCACGCGGCAGGCATCGAGTCCCACACTAGCTCTGCGAGCCGTGCGCAACTGCATTTCCCCGTGTAGAGATCCGGCCTGACAGTCTTGCCGCCCTCAATCAGATACCAAACTATGAACGGGGCTAGCCCCAAGCGGGTGGATGGGACCAACATGGTTGATTGCCCTCCGCCGTATACTTAGTGTAACGCTCTACAAAAAAAAAGAATAACAACTTGATCCTGTCTATCAGACATAGACCCGCAACTTTTCGGTCTGCGTGAACCGTGGGTTATCCGTGCCCTTGGAAAGGCCGGGTGATAGGGGAAAGATGTCAATGGTACCAAATTCATGGGATGTGCAACATTTTAGGCAGAGCGCTTTGAGGTTCCGGATCTTATTGTGGACGGTGAATAGGGTTGGCATAGATCTGAAAACAGCTCGATAGTGGCTGTACACCCACCATTGCTCGGACACCCTGGTCATTTGGAGTAACAGGGCGTCCGCTACTTTGTTTTTGGGGATGATTGGAAATCCAAGGGATGGAAGGGGCCAAGACGAGAAAGCGCCATCCCGAGGAGGTCCTTGAGATTGAACGAGAGCTTTGTTTGGTCGATTGATAATCCGGACCACAGAGAACACGATAACAATATGGCTCGCCAGTCCCTGCACACCATGGCTCAACACCCAGGACCCTTGCAACACATCGAACACGTCGTAATGCTCGCCCTTGAAACCAAAGTGAAGATACACTTCGACGCGTTACGACGGCAGCTTGCTATAAGAACAAATTAAATATATGCTGTCGATTTTGTTTAAAAAGACGCGCAGTGAGACTCGCGAAAATGCTGAGCAGTACTTGGAATCCTCAGATACGGTCAATAATGCTGATTTTCTGTCGACTTTTCGTCGGCCGGACGCTGCTGTGGTAGATGAGATGAGAGAAGGAGAAAAGAGAGAGCATCATGTACGCGTTATTTGACTAAAGAGCGAAAAATAAATATAGACACGTGGCAACCACTTGGCGCTGCGTATTTGCGCAGTTGATAACACTTCTTACCCACCTGCCTCTCACTTTTCCTAGCACCGTGTCCTTTTATTGGGCAGTCCCATCTCCTGACTCGCGGCTCGTCGTATTTCCGTGTTTTTTTCCAGCCAAAGCGCCTTGTGTCCCCACGCCGGCAACAACGTGGGTACAGAGCGGCTCTGTTCGTGGGATTGGAAGCTTGGAAGCTGGAAACTAAATGAAAATCTGACTGCGGGTATTGGGGATCCACAGGGCGAGGAAATACCAGCGACACGTTTCTTCCGGTGACCTCTAAGGTGAAGGTGTCATCTTTTTTCCCTTGGGTGTTTGTTCCAAAAAGGAAACCTTCGGCACGGACCCCCGGCCGTCATGGCTACAAATGGGGGCAGTGTTGATCATTGTCTTATTTCCGTCTTGCCAGTGGCCATCATCCTCGTTCTCGCTCGGGTATCGCCACTGATTGGAACACAATTTCGGCGGGGAATCTCCATTGTGAGAACTTTTGCTGGTTCTGGTGAATGAAGTGCGTGGCACAACCCTGAAGCCCGGTTTTGCTCCACCATGCTGCTCCTGGACAAGGACGACAAAGGCTCAGACAGGGCCTCACTGCTCGCCCTCGATGCCTCGTCGTCCACTGGCACTCCAACAGTAGTCGGCGTACCCCCCCCTTTGGTTCCCCGTCTCTCTCGCCGGCTCTTCCTTATTCACTTGCTTCATCTCCTTCTTCTCGCCATCAGTTTGACAATCCTCATTGCGGGCGTTCTTCGCTTGGAGGAGAACGTATCTGTTTCTTTTGCAAATGTAGGCCGCCGCATCCCCCCCTTTTCACCCCCTGGCTCACGAGCATCGCAGGCTGCTCCTGTATCCAGCTACTTGTCACTCGGGTTTCAGATATTCTTCACGGCAGCGGTCATAATTTTGGCTTATTTATCTCGTGTGGCGGCTGTAGATTCTGCTATTCGGCATCGTACGTGGTTACCTTGTATTCAATTCTTGTCCTTATTCGAATGTAGCGACGAGTCTCGCCGAACTCAACCTTCGCATCCGAGCATGGAATGGCATAGCATCCTCCCTATCAAATTGGAGAACCAGCTCACGACAGTCTTTGAACCCATTCAACTCTGTCTTCACAACTATTCCCCTGTATTATATCGCTGCAGCATGTTTCTGTGTCGTCATGTCAAGCGTTCTCGGTATGTGGGTTCCTTTGCGCCTGGAGCATAAGTGTCACATGTTTTGACACAGGCATCCAAATATACATTGCCAGTGCTGTGCGAACAGTTGACGCTTCGGTCATGAATCATATGGGTTCGTATCTCAATCCGTTCAATATTTCCACGCACGACATACGCGATGCCTACGTGAGAGATAATAATTGGACTTGGCCGGTATGAGAGTTAAATTTGCAATCTCACGAGTCTCACAAATTTGTAGGCAAGAATATGGGATCTTGAAATGTTTATATCCTCGGCAGGCTACTCAAACAAAAGTCCGGGCCTTCAAAAAAGGTACGTCAGCTGCTTGCTTGTTAATCAGCCGTAGCTCACGTTTTCGTCCAGCCTTTTATACGACACTCCCATCAATGCTTTCTCAGGCCAGCAATATAGCTCTAGTATGTCCCCTTCTTTTTATGTCACGGTGCATTTCACCATATAATTGCGTTACAGTCACCGTTAATTCCACTATAATGGACGTCAAATGCAGCCAGGTGCAAGACGCTGCTATCGACATTTTTCTCATGCCCTATACCGATAACGATACGTCACATGCTATACCCGTCGATGTCTCGTCTGGTGCGGATGGTCCTCTCGACGTTTGGTTTAACCTATCCATGCCCCCACCTCCTTATTGGGACCCCAAAGTCTCAGACTTGAACTTTTCAACCTTCTTTCAAACCCTTCAAACGACATGTGGACCGATCGCGAACGACCACGTCCCAGGACCCGTACCTCATATTTGCTTTAATACTAATTACACCAACTTCACAAAAGTCGTCGTCCAACCTTGGGTTCTCAGCAGCGATCTCAGTTTCCCAGGTCACCAGCAGGTTGTTTTCGTCATCGCAACGTCAGATGAGGACATCCTCATCCGTGATGATAACGATTCGACGGGGACTACTGTCAATGAAACTATTGATACCGGCATTTGCAAGCCGAATGGACATGGTCCTCCCAGTGACGATGGTCCTTGCATGTCGGTGCCGATGTTTGTCCAGGCTATTGGTTGTACGCTTGAGACGACGCAAGCGTATATCGAGGTTACATATTCCGGAATTCTGGTCGACACGGACGCGCCATCGGATCCCGACCCACATCAATGGGACGTGTTTCAGTGGGAACCGACTAGTCCGGTTCGTGTGGAGGATCTTTTCCTCACAGCGTTCAGCCCTGTTCCGACCTTGGACGAAATCATCTCTGACGGCGCATCGCTCATCAATCTCGGCCAGAGTTCTGTCGAGCAGATGCTCGCCAATCTTGTCTCCCCGTCATCGAACAACAACTATACCTATCTCGGACTTGATGAGCTCGAGGGGAGTTTGGCGGCTCTCTATGCGAGTTATATTTGGAAGGCTTGGCAATTGTGTGATTGCCCACCTTGGCCGATGAATACTCGTCAGACTCCTCCTTCGGTGTGTCAGGACTTTCAGTTGGGCGCTGCCCTGGGTGGATGGGATGACGTTGTCGACGCGCAGGTCACGATGTCCGAGCCGAAGGCTACGTTCAAGGTCGTTCTCTGGCGGGCGGTGATTGGGGCGGCGTGTAGTGCGCTGATGTGTATCTTGTCGTTTGCCCTTTTGGGTGTGATAACGGACCGAGATAAGGATATGCCGCTGAGGGATGCTGGGCTAGTGGATGGTGTGCGATTGATGATTGACTCGTCTTTGCCCGGTGCGGTTAAACTGGCGGGTGTTGAGGGCTTGAAGCTTAGGTGGGCAGTTGGTTACCTGTCTTTGTTTGGGCTGGACTAACTTTTTTTTCATTTGGTAGGTATGGTTGGAACGATGATCAGAGTTATCAGATACTCAATATTCGAGACGAGAATGAGAAGGTGGCGTAGTAGAACATGGACTGATATGGACTGGGGTGTGTTGTACATTAGGATACGGATACTGTTCGATTTGCTTGAGGGGGTGGGGGATTTGCTTGGCTTCGCCCTTTGGGGTAAGTACTGTAATTCCGAACAGTTGTGCACCCGCTGATTCTACGGTTGCAGCAGGGTCACGGTGAGATATGTGCTCGCCTGGGTTTCAAGTGATGTGGGTAAACCCGCCTTCCAGGGTGATCGGAGCCCGGAGCCGTAGAGAAGGACGCCCCACCAAATATTCCGCCCCGCGCGCAAACTGGCTTCTAGGGTCGTTTATACGTCCTCGTTCTTGTGAAACTTTGTTTTCCCTTGAAAGAGCCTGCCGGGATTTCGTATGATGGTGGAGGCGATTGAGGCTGGGTATCGATTCACGGTTGCTTCGTTGCTTCGAGTTTCAGTACTTTTGCCTTGCCTCTTGACGCCGCCGGTGTTCTGGTTGTTGCATTTCGTAGCTGCGTATTTTGTGTGTTGATGTGTACCGACTGAGAAACGATGTTGCCTTCCGACGTGTGGTTACACGAATCGTTACTCTCTACGTGATTCGTTGTCGCCTTCGATTGATTCGATAAAAGCTTGGTGTTTGATATAGCTTCCGTAAAGAAATGTGAATGTATAGGAATAGAAGCGGACGCCTTCGATCTAGTATCTATTTTGATACCCTCAATTTAAATTTTTTGATGTTTGCTCAGGAAATACACTCCTTAAGGTCACACTGGTCTCATTTCAACAACAGCCATCATCTGGCTGCTTTCATTAAATCTGCATCTCTCTCCGCAAACACATATACCGGCACCAGCGGCAGGCAAAAATGGCTACATTGCTGGAGACGAGATTTGATTTGATTGAGGCCAGGTGTCGCTTCAAGTATTGATTCGTCGCTTAGAGTTCAGTGCTTCTACCTTTGTCTTTTTGAAACCGGTGTTCTGGTTGGTGCACTTCGTAGCTGTGTTGATGAGAAACGATGCCTTCTTACATCTGGTGTAGGTATATGTTTGATGGCCGAATCGCTCTACTCTTTGTTGCCCTCGATTGGTTAGATAAACGCTTCAAGTTCATTTGCGTTATCGTCTTTGATATAACTTCCGTAAAAAACACGCGGAAGTATAGGAATAGAAACGAACGCCTTCGATCCAATATCTATTTTGATACCCCTCAATGTAAAGCGTTTGTCATTTGTTGATATTGGATCAAAACATACATTCTCTAAGATTCTTAACCATGAGATCCCCGTTGAGATCCCCGTTGGTACTTACCAATTCGTTTACTACTAACCACTTGCACGGCGGTGGAAATTGGAGGACACATGCCTCATGGATTAAAAAGAGTCAACAGCCATCATCTGGCTGCTTTGATTAAATCTGCAGCTCTTTCTGCAAACACATATACCGGCACCTGAGTATGCGCGGCAGGCAAAAATGGCTGGCAAGTCACTTCAGTGCGAGGATGATTCTACGGAAGGGGAGGGGGGGTCTCACCAAAACCGACGCATCGACGATCCTCACGCCCTTTGCGCCCTTCAACACCAGATCAGGGTCCACCACTCCCCAGTCCGCATTCACGGGGGACATGCTTGCCGACCCTACGGGGTGGAATAGACTGGCTGTGCCGTTCCTGATATCGTCTTCGGTGGTGTTCGTCACGAGCCCGAGGATGTACCCATCCCACACGGGGGCGGCGGTGACGAATTTCTGCGCACTCGCGATGGCGTATTGCATAATGGCGAGGTCTTGCGGATGGGAGAGGAAGTTGGGGTTAATCAGTGGTGGGTCCAGGGGGTTCGTGCTGTTGATAGTGACGTTCCCGCCTAGTACGATTGAATATTAGCAAAAGATTGGAAAATTTTAAATGTGTTAGGTCGGGCGTTACGCGATAGAGGACACATAACCGCTGGCCTGACTGAAAAGAAGTTCCCTGTTGGGGGGATAGGATCTCGGAAGACACCGTTCTACAAGAGAGGTTCACGTTTGACTCGGGTTCTTCTAGCACAGTGAATGAGTAGAGTTACGGACCGACAGAATAAATTCATAATGCGCTGTCTCATTTCCAGCACACGGTTCTCCTTCCACAACCCCCGCATCGTCGGGAATCCGAAGGAATCCTAGCTGATTGGCTGCTCCTGCCGTTAAAAACCCAGTGCGATTCGCTTCCCATTCCGCCAGGGCGTCTGCTTGGAACGTGACGTTTCTGAAATAGATATTCTCTATCGTGTCGGTGTTGTTGACGATGAAAAGCATGCTCCAGATGGGGTGGTCTGTAAAGTTTTTGCCCACGTCGGGGAGGTGGAGAGTCGGTGTGATGTGCAATGCTGTAAGTTCTTTTGTGTCGCCGATACCGGAGTGAAGGAGTATATTGGGGGTGCCAATGGATCCAGCGGAAAGAACGATTTCCTTGAGGTTTGTAGGTGCGAGGGTATGCGTGGTTACTAGGGGATGACGGAATGTCAGTCAACAGGAATAGTTAGTGTGCTAGGAATTTTTCATTCACCCCCAGCATCCTGGGTTAACTCGACGGCGTTAAACGTTGGCGGCCTGCTGATATCCTTAGTATCTGACTGGAGAATCCGGGTAACACGAGTGTGAACCAGGACATGCAGGTTCGGTCGGCCAATGTATACAGGCCCGAGATATGACGTTTGGGAGCTGCTTCGAGTCCCATTTCCGACCGTCATGGGTGTCCATCCTGTGTCGTACTCAGCATAAGTCTCCGGATCACTAGTTTAGAAAAACGCCCTCACCAATGCCCAACTGGTACCCGGAATTATAATCCAAGTTAAACGGGAAATCGTCGGGCAGCTCCGATGTCGCCTGGATGATAAGGCTGTCCGTAGCGCGCGGGTATCCAGGAAGAGACACGTCTGTGATTCCGTCGAAGCCGTGGACCACAGGGTTGAACTGACCGGTCGTATTGTGGTGGTCAGCTGGGGCAACGAAGCGCTCATTCTTTCCAAAAGATGAATGACAGTTTGTGTGAAAAAGGGAGATTTCGACCAACCTTTCGAAAGTATGGTTGCAAAGCATCCCATCCCCATCCAGGGTCACCACTGATTTGTGCATAACGGTCGTAATCTTGTGAGGAACCGCGGGTATAGAACATAGCATCTGGGTTTACATTCAGCTGTCAATTTCAGCGGCCAAAGCCTGAGGTGGTAAAGGGACGTACTGACAGCACTACATCCTCCCAGTCCAAACCCTCGGGGAAGCGGAACAGAGAGTCCGTTCAACCCCGGTTGCTCAGTCGTGGTGAAGTTCCAGTCCCAAACTGTTCCTGGCACTATACGAGGAAAAAAGAAAGGTACTTGGGAGAGGAGAACATCGGCTGTACTACAGGAAGGATAACATATTGAACAGAACGAAAGAGGGGGGTGCTTACGATTCACCCGCCTCGAGAACAAGAGCAGAAACGTCCGGGTCCTCTGTGAGACGGTTTGCGATGACGTTTCCGGCCGTCCCACCTTTGGTCTGTATGAGTATACGGCGTGAAGACTCGAATAATGGCACGTACCTCCGACAATAATATAATCAAAATTAAGAGTAGGAAGATCCTCGAGCCTTTCGTATATCGCACTAAGCACTCGGGAGCATAATGCAAGGAGTAAAAGGAAGGGGAGCCTGAGGTGCATGGCTGCTGAACGGCCCGCCAAAAGTACTAGTAGATCGTAGCCTTATGAACCATTTGCCATTTCGCGATGAATCGTGGTAAAACACGGTCCACATGATGGATAAAGAGATCTTTGGAAGTTCTGGTGGGATGTAGAGAAGCACGAATCTAGTATGGTATTGGCTGCCATGCAAAGCACGCAAATAACGATATTCACCTGATAGGTCCGGTGTTCAGCCAAGAGGTTCAGGCCACACAGTTCAAGACAGAGATATGTTCGAACGATAGATCAAACAAGAAACCCTGGGACGAAGCAAACGAGGTCGGACGGAAATGCAAGTGACAAGTATTGATATTCTTGAACTCGGTAAATCCTAGGCCTGCTGGTGATCCTGTAACCTGCCAAACGTTTCTTTGATTTGAGTGAACCCACCGTCGTTTCCTTTCACGCAACAAAATCACGTTGTCACAGATCTGGCAGATAAAGGTCGGAGGCCAAGTCCTGTGTGTGGCTGCATCGGGGATGTGCAGCGTCCTCGAAAGGGGTCAGCAGAAGGTGATGATAAGCGTCGCTTGGATGAAGCCTCTCTCCAAAGCAGGAAAACTTGTATATGCGGCAATCAATCTTACTCTAGTTTCCATTTTCGTTCGATGCTCTCTCTCATGCTGTTCTTCTTTTTCGACCACGACTTTGTCTGAAGTATTCCGTGAGACGTATATCCACGATCAACCTCGCAGTTTTAAGCTATTTGGATCAATGGCAATGGAATCACGTGTTTTGTATGTTTTCCCTTTATTTCGCCCTGTTTTCAAAGTTTTCCTTCCGGTATTTACAATAAGGTTTTCCCCCCTGGATTCGGCAACGGACGCCTTTCGGTACATCGGCTCCGAGTGCCCAGAATTTTTCACAGATTATGACGGTGACTGTTGTGTGTCCTTTCTCTGCACTTTTTCATCGATATGCTGTGGACATGAAAAGTTCGTCAACTCGTCGCTGTGACAGGATACTGCTTCGGAGAAAGGTTTCCTCAACACGAATATCGAAACCGAGAACAAGGGATGGCAGTGGACCCTGAAGAAAGTCTGGATGAAGATACCATGTTCGTTCCATACTGTCAGAAGCACACTCCGCATCATACCAAAAACGGGACATAGCGTGTAGTGGTAGGTGAGTTGTACATGCATAAAGTGGCACTTTCCCTCTGACTACTTAAGAAAAGAAAGGCCGAACGCTTTACTCCTCGTTCTTTCACACTGGATCATAATAATGGAGCACTGTTGGTCGATTGGTAGCTGGAAACACCAAATTTGGTGCGTAATACCCTTTCTTGTCAGACCTTCGAAGTACTTGGAGATAGTACCAATAACGTCAATCGTGTCTCATTCATCGTGAAAGCTTTGTCAACTGTCACAACGAGTTCCATGCTTGGGAAGGCAAGCCTAGATGTTCCGATCATCGTACACGTTGTTCCATCGTGACAATGGAACCTTAACTCGTGTTTTCCGTTCTTTGCGCAGCCCTACAAAGTTAGCTTTCCTCTCGTAAGACCCGTCGACCTCCCCAATGAATATCTCCCCGAGCGGCCGCGCACCAAGTCCCTTGGGATTCTATGGTCGCGTAGGCTCTGACGGAACACCTTATGTTTACTCAAGCCCCAGCCTTCCCAGCGGCGACTTTCAGATCGAGCGCAGCATTAGGTCACCTTATCGCCCACACACCGTAGCGCCTGCTCTGCACCAAGGCTACGAAGAGGAGCTCATATACCGAGATCACATCTCGCGCCTTCTCACCGCCAAAACTCGCGTGTTCTCAATCTCTGGTCGAATCCCTTTGGATCCCTCACAGCTGGTTCTGTTTTTCCGGACGAAGGTACGCTACACGTTCTGTGATGTCGATCTCTGCTGATCATTAACTCTCCAGAGCGGAATAACCCATTCCCTCGATTTCCCCATCGATGTCGACTACAACACCCCCCCGGCCCTCGATGTCCTCATCGCCGCCTGCCGACCCCACCAAACATCAGATATAGACTCATACGCAGAGCACGAATCGCTCTTCTTCCCCCCAAATCTTCCACTCACTACCTCTCTTGAAATCGCCAACCATCCCATCCTAGCAGCCATCCGGACAACGCTCTTCCCCTCCCTCCCCGAGGGCCAGTACCTCACCACTCGGCGGGACCGTCTCGAAGTCATCGTCTCCGGCGGCCGCATGGGGCCCCAGTCTCGCTCTCTCCGTAACGATGGGCGGGTAGCAACCATCACCGTAACCCTTCCCGTGCGCTTCCGCGGTGGCGCACTCATCGTCCGGTCCGATAGCACCAATGCGGAGGAACGGTTCACCGGCAAAGGCGGCAAGAACGGCGATATCGAGTGGACGGCCTTCCTTGCGGATTGTGACTATGAGGTCGAGATGGTCGAGAAGGGGTGTAGGTTGTCGATCCTGTATGGGGTGTATCTCAAGACGTTTGGGACGGGGGTGGGGGTGGGGGTGGTTGCGGAACCGCTGGTTAACCCTAGTGATGGGTTCTTTGATTTGCTCGCTCCGGTGTTGAATATGTCTAGAGGGAGGAAGGTCGCGTTTTCCCTTTCTCATGACTATGGTGTGTGTCCTGCGGACGTCTTGGCGGAATATTTGGTGCCTTATGTGCGTCTCTTCTTTCGTGACCTCGTCTGCCTTTACTGACCGACCTCTTCACCAGCTGAAAGGCGGGGACTCGGTATTGTACAATGCCCTCAGGCTATACAAGCTCACTCCTGAGCTACATTGGACCGCCGGAGGATACATCTGGCCAATCGACCACCTCGTCGAATCCCTCAGCGAAGATATCTCCAGCCCTGGTCTCGATATTGTGCGGAGAGGCACACCTGCTCTGCGCGGTGCTTTCAGTACCTATGGAGACCCCGAGCTTCACGGGGAGGTGGACAACTTGCGGCAGCGAATAGCGAGCAGTGGTGCTATTCCCCTTCTGGAGGCTGAGATTACCATTTTGACGGATGGGAATGTGCAGGCGGTTGGCAAGGAGCGTGTTCCGTTCGTGTCGAATGGTCAGCTGGATAAGCTGGTGGTCAACGCGGTGATAGTCGTTTATGTCCCTTGATTTGTTTCTTTCGCTTATGATGTTGAATTGCCATTACTTCGTTACTATGTCGGTCTGAACTGTGGTCGCATGCGGTGACTGTGCCGCTAGTATATAGTATTGCTTAGCAAGTTGGGAGCGATCCAACACACTCGAGTAGGGATTAGCATGGTTTCGGAGCTCTGGAAGTTCTTTCAGATATAAGAGAAGGATAGAAAGGAATGGCATTGGTAATATGTGGTAAATGGATTATACATCAGGAGATGCTACCTCCCTTCGCTCCGTAGAAGCCTTTTCACTATTCGACGCGACATCATGCACCACACCCTCCGCTTTCACCTCCCGCTTCCGCTCCCTCAGTCGCTCGCTCTCTTTGATCCCAAAGCTATGCTTAAACACCATCATGACTTCCTCCAAGCTAAGACCCGCCGTCTCAGGGTAGCAGAAGATGACGAACAGCCAGCCCAAAAGGCACAATCCAGCGTAGAAACCAAATGCACCGGCAGGCGTGATCTTCGCCATGAGTGAGAGATAGGTAGAGTTGATGAGCAGGTTGGCAGCCCAGTTTGTCGCGGTAGCGAGGGACGTGCCTACTCCACGGACTGGAAGTGTAATTTGTTAGTCCCATTATCAAAAAAGACGAGTAAAAGGGCCGTACTCTCGAGCGCGAATAGCTCTCCTTGCTGCCATGGAACATTACCGAGACCAGTAGCGTATGATGCGACGAATATAATCATAGATAATAACACGATGGCAGACCATGAAGTGGGGTATTTGGTGCCATCAACGAGCTGGCCACCAGTGTGAATGGTCAGATCTGTGAGGTGGAAAGGAATGAGAAGAACACAGCGGAAGGGAAAGTATACCACTAACAGTGGAAAGATATGCTCGCCAACGTCAACCCAAAGATCATCCCAGGCGAACTAATGAGCATTATCCGCCGTCGTCCGATCCTGTCGATGCAGGTGAGGGCGATGATAGTGAAGATAAAGTTAGTGCCGGAGACGATCAAGCTAACTGCAGTCGGCTGGTTAAACCCGATGGATGCAAAAAGTGTAGCTGAGTAATACATCAGTGTATTAAAACCGCAGAGCTGCTGGAACGCTTGCAATCCACACCCTACGACTAGAACGCGGAAGTTAGTACAACATGCTACTTGACTAACCAGGCTTACTGAGTGCTCTGCGATAAACTGGATTCATTAGCATAGACGTGAAACGTTGCATAAAGGTCGTATTGTTCGCAATCTCTACACTTCGCTTCACGGATGCTTGTAGAACTTTAACCTGATATATGACGATGCATCACACACGGGGACTTCACATGACGAGTATACACACTTTTAGCTCCACATCAGATGGCTTGGCGAGGGCATAGATCTTGGTCATGATCTTCTGGGCGGCAGCGATGTCGCCTCTCAACAACATGATGCGGGCTGATGGTCAGGAGGGTCAGCGAAGTGATAAGCAGGCCCTGCAAGTCGGATACACGTACGACTTTCTGGAAGGAACAGCAAAGACACTAATTGCAGAGCGGCTGGAACGGATCCCAAGCCAACCATCCAGCGCCATCCGCCATGCATATTCTCGAAGCCTGCTCCAATGCCGTATGCAATGACCTGTCCCAGCGTTATAGCGACCACATTCATGACAACCATACGGCCCCGGAGACGCGTTGGAGAGAGCTCCTGGATGTACAGTGGCGCGATACACGAGGCCAATCCGACACCGATACCAAGAAGGAATCGTCCACCAATCTACAGAGGGTCTCATGAACGGACCGCAGCAATTATATGGAGAAATACGGACCATACTCCAGACAGTGTGACAGACTGCTTGCGCGATTGCTCCCCCAATGAATATGATATCAGATATGGCCAGCACGAGTCGTCGGCCCGTCCAATCAGACATGGCGCCTGCTACAAAACCGCCGAGAAGGGCGCCTAGGGTCGTAGCAGACGTGATAAATTCCTAAGCACCAGGACAGCACAGTATCAGATAGATTCAGGCCTAGTGGACCGAAACACGTCGCAACGCACCTTCTGGCCGCTGGACAATGCGTCTGGTCCCAAATCAGAGCCCACGGTAACTAATGCGCCTGATATTACACCAGTATCGTACCCTCAGATGCAGACGTTCAGTAAAAATCGCCATGGGTAAAAGTGGACTAGCATACCGAAAAGTAGTCCAGATATCGTAGCACACAGTACTAAAGTCCAGACGAACCAAGTCGTCCTCTCCTCTCCTTCTGCTACAACAGCAAGTTCATTTATTTCTCCAGAGTCCAAGTCGTTTGCCACTTCGAATAACTCATTAGTCTGGTCGTTCTTTCCGTCACTGTTAATAGAAGTAGGCGTGTTCTGGACGTGTACGGTAGCCATGATGCTATCGGGTTGTAGAAGAAAGATGGGTTGTTCAGAAACCTGTTTAAATATTGGTCGAGAAAGGAATCATGGGACCGCTCCTATCCCCAATGGTCGTTAGCAGAAGAGATGCCTCCAAAAAAATAAACCCGGCTAATTTCAGCATTGGGGTCACGATTGATCGACCGGAACGGTTCGGACCGGGAATACTTTTTCCTATTTGTTACTCTTGGTAGCCTTCTAGTGATTGTCTATTAAGGTGGGAAGGTATAATTAATCATGGAATATATGGTAGCATAAACGATGCAAAAATCACTACTAAGAGGAATGCTAAGTTTCAAAATATTTGGCGGGTTTTGAGCCCCGCCTTCGACCCCCATCGGCTCCACGTAGTTTGCGGCGTATCACACCCCTTACCACCCGTAGAATGTCATGGAAATCCGCCGAAGCGCACTTGACAATAAGAATTCATATCGAGAGCTGTCCAGAGAAGGTCGTCGAACATTCCACGGTCCGTACCCCGTCCAGATAAATACTCTGGAGCTTCCGGTCCGCGCGTTGTGGTCAGCGTCAGTCCAATACACTAGAGTCACGACATGGTAAACATCTGACAGCCTTGGACTCTGTAGATATAAAAGAGGGCGACGACGGTGAAAAGGAAGGTGTTACCAAAGACAATCAGGCTGATGACAGCTGACTAGCTGAATATGCTATATGCGAACAAGGCAGGTGCTTGTGCGGTTGATCCTCCAATGAATATGATATCGGAGATGCCGGACACTGGTTTTCTCCCCGTCCAGTCGGACGTGGCGTCTGTAGGTAAACCACCTAAAAGCGCCTACAGCGTCATGCAAACGAAAAGAATTCCTTAGAGGCAGAAAGAGTTCTTCGGATTGAAGACTGCTATAAACGTTGCACGCTTCTCACAGCACTTTCTGAACATTGGACAATCGTTCAGGCCCCAAATCTAAACGAATAGTCGCTAATGTGCCAGATTTTTCACTAGCATCAGAACCCGAATGGTCGATGTTCAGTTGAAAGCGAACATTAAATAACACAGCAAGAGCATACCAAGAGCAGTCCGGAAACCATGGCGCACATTACATGCATCAAGACGAACAGTGTCGACTTCTCCTCACTTTCAGTAATAGTGTCGGATTCTCCAGTAACCAAGGCGTTGGCCACAACAAGTGTTTCAGTAGTCTGCCCTTGTCTGTAGTCAGGAGAAAAGTCCTGGTCGTGTAGGGAAGCCGTGATGATATCAAGGAAGATAAGATCAGTCAACGATCGGCCTCACCGCGCTGGATGAGTATAGGACATCATTGAAAATCGGCCTGAGTGCATAACAGTCTGTCCGCAGACTGTCATTAAAAAATTACGCCACCATACATTATGCATTATTGTCAAACTTGTCCAAAAGACAAAGCAATGGACCACTCATGACTGTAATTATTCCGCTTATATCTTTGTGGCAGTCTGTTGGAGTTGTCGGGCGATGCATAGGCAAGCGCATTGTCATGACATAAGTGATGTTCCTGTACAGGTATCGTTTTTCATTGATCTTCCTTGTATCTGTTATAAATGTCTTACCTATGTGTCATTTATGTATTCATAATCCATCAGTTGCTCTCCTCATCTGTTAACTGTGACAGTTGGGGTGAGCATTACAATGATTAATGCTGTACTTATAACTTATGATATTTCATAGTGTACTGATGTTGTACCTATTAGTATTGGTCCTCGAATCATTACAGGTTATGGGCCCCACCCTTACCTGAATTTGAAGTAGCCAATTGCAATATATTTAATGCTCTCAAATGTCTATAACAAATGTATTTGCCAATTCTACAAATCTCCCTACCTCTGCACTATAGCTTGAGACAAACAACATCAGTTGGCCTATCTTCAGCACCTGCTTTGAAATAGCCATTGCAGCAAAAGATAAGTGGGGGCACTTTAATAGTCTTACACCTCACCCAAGTTATACTCATCATATCACTGAGGAGCAGGCTATTGAAATCTGCCAATGGGACAAGGATAAGGCTGTGGCACAATTCTTAATGTCTCAGCATGTTCATGATGGTACACTGTATTTGGTTCATCATGTGACTACAGTTGCCAAACAATGGACAGAGGTCATCAAATATTATACTGAAAAGGGAGCATATGCTCAAACCAGCTGTTAGACATAGGAATAGTACAATACAAACACATTCACTTACCTATTTGATATTTCTTTCTTTTTCAGCATGTCACACTATTCTGCACATCTCAGCTTTCAACCACAACACTGAGATGTGAGCACCTTCTATACCTATCTATCTTTGACTGTATTTACTTATCATCTATGTAGTAACATTATGACATTTTATTCTAGGTAAATAACACAGCTTTCAACCACAATGCTGAGATTAATGTTATGACATTTTATTCTAGCATCCATTCTCTTCCAAATCTTTTTTCCTCATTCACTATATCCACACTCCTATCTTGTTAACTCCAACAGATTATGGACCCTGCTACCAGCATGTCCATAACAACTGAAATAAAGCTAGTTAGCATAACAAAGCTTGCAGACAATGGATCAAACTGGGTAGTGTTTTCAGATAAGCTCATCACCAAGTTCCTGGATAAGGGCCTTGGCTGGCATCTCTGAGGAACAGCTTGCATATCCCTGCACTCTGTTGAGCACAAGAGAAACTTCTACTGGTCCTCCAATACTGCATTTTCATATCCACTCTCAGATGATAACTTAGGTAAGCTAGAGAATAAGCTAGAGGAATATGAGCAGAAAGAGGTAAAGATGTGTAATATCATTTACAAAGCCATTTCTGACTTTACCTTCAATGAGATCAAAAGCAAGGCAACAGCCACTCTTGTCTGAAAGAAGCTCATCACTGTTATGACTGGCAAGAGTGATCTTGTGTGAGAGCATCTCCTTACTCAGCTCAGAAATATGACATGCCCTGATGAAGACAATATATATGAACACCTTGCCAAAATGAAAATCCTCTATGAACAAATCAAAGAGATGAGTCTGAAGATTGAAGACAATCAGTATACTTCAATGATCCAAAAATCACTTCCACCCTTTTATAATCACATCTGTTGCATCCTCTCCACTGCTGTTACAATTTTTCTATTTCTATTTCTTATTTTCTATGATTAACCCCTATTTATGCTTAGTTAGAGTGCCAACACAAGTGCTTAAGACCATGGGATAAGGCTTAGTCATCACAACTAGCCAAGTCCATCATTGTCTTTCAATGCAACAGTATTGCCAATGATGCACAATCAGTCTTTTATGTATGGTAGTGATGCCCAAGGACAATGGGCACAGAGGACTTGACAATATACAATAGGTAGTATTATTATTAGTTATAACTCGTATGATATTTAAGACAGCTTGCTCTTGCTGATAATCTCCAGCTTCGAGCTAAAGTTTATCTTCACACCATTCTACTCTTGAGCTGATTCACTTGGCCTTGTGACATACCAATCAGATTATGCATCAGTAGACTCAGCTGATCTCCTGAAGTGTGAGGGGACTAAGCTGTTTATCACATATATCTGTTTATGTGATGTTTGAGTCTAATAATTAGCTCAAAGCTTCTTCTTCTCTTTCCTCACACACTATAGTGTGGAGAAAACTGAATGCTCTCTATCAACTCATTAGATCCAAACTTTGATCAAGAGTTCTTTGAACTCCTAGCTTCCATCATTGGAACACTTTTAGGTCTATTTATAATTATTCAGCTGTGCCAGAGACATCACTTGATTACTGTCTAGGCAATTTGACACTACAATAAATTCCAACATATCCATCACATACTTCACAATGTAACCCCAGATATTCCTCTACATAACATCTCTGAATCCCAAAGAACATCTCATCAGCCTCTGACAAGCTCTTTATCTGAAGCCAGACCTAGCAGCATGCATCAAGGGAATTGTTATAATTTTTCTATTCTTTCTCTAGATTAACCCCTATTTATACTTAGTCAATGGCATCTAGACCAGTGCTTAAGACCATGGAGATAAGGCTTAGTCATCACAACTAGCCAAGTCAGTCAGTATCTTTTGATGCAGCAATGATGCTCAATGATGCACAATCATTCTTTTATGTATGGTATTAATGCCCAAGGACAATGGGCACCAAGGACTTGACAACACATAATTAGTAGTAGTATATTTAGATGTGATATATACAGTATTTAAGATAACTCACTCTCACTGGTAATTCCCAGCTTTGAGCTAAAGTTTATCTATACCATTCTATTCTTGAGCTGATCCTCTGTCCTTGTGACACACTGAGTCAGGAAGTGCATCAGTAGACTCAGATAACTATCTGAAGTGCAAGGTAGCTTCTGTTTATCATATGTTTCTGCTCATGTGATGCTTGGATCTAACAATTAGCTTGAAGCTGTACCTTCTCTTTTCTCATACCCACTAGTGCAGAGAAAACTGAATGCTCTCTATCAACTCATTAGACCTGAACTTTGATCATGAGTTCTTTGAACTCCTCGCTTCTATTGTTGGAACATTGATAGGATTATTAGTGATCATCCAGCTGTGCTGGAGATGCCATTCCATCACTGCCTGAGCCATTAGGCATTATAATGAGTTCCAGTATATCCAACACATCCTCAGAAACATAACCCCCAACCTTCCTCTACATGACATCTCCACATTCTGATGAACATCTCATCAGTCCCCCACAAACCTCCCACCCAAAGCAGAGCCTAGCAGCCTGCATCAAGGAGACATTCAAGAAGAAGAAAGACACAGATACCCTCTAAGATGACTCAGCCAAGACTGTGACACTCACATCCTGGAAGTCAGGAACATATGGGTCTGGGGACCCCTGCCCAACCATGAGAACAAGGACATCCTGGGAGACTTCTTTCAGCAGTCTCCCTCTCCTGATCCTACTATCACCTCTTGAATTAAAGGGATTGCTGACTGTGCAAGAGACTCTCTTGATGCTGCTCAGCTGGCTACAAGACTCTGACTAATGACACCTCAAAGCCAGCCTATTAGCTTCACCATCTCTCTCCTCCACTCAGTCAGGACCAGTGGTGGGATGGGGAGGACATCCTCAGCCTGCCACGATGATGAGCAAAGAAACAGAGAAACATGAGATGAGATCATCTACTGATACTTCTCTACATAGGATGTCAATGTCCCATTCAATTATGATGAGGCCATCCAACAAGAAGAACGATAACAGTGCACTGCATCACAGCCAGTTCACAGTGAGCTTGAGAAACATATCCTCGAGTCCAGAAGGCAGAGGAGAGAAACTGAGAAGTATGACAGGGAACACCAAGAGGAGCAGTGGGCTATTGAAAGGGCTTGACTGGAGAGGGCTGACAGCTCCAACTGGTATAGACTCCAGTCCAAGGTTGCATCTATACTTGCACTAGTACATGCAAGGTCATCCCTTTTGACCTCAGTCTTCTAAGAGCCTGGCACTGACTCTGACCCCTGGAGCAAGAATTGGTGGTGAAATGAAACCATTGCAGCTGGTGGAACCCTCCCATGCCCTCCAACTCCTCAATATCCCTCTCTCTGACAAACCTCCAGCATTGACACTATGTTTAGAGATGATGAGTCTGTCCTCAGACACTACAGACTATGGGTCCCTGGGACTGCTCACATCCCTGCCCATGCTCTCTGAGGATTCCTCAGAAGCCGAGTGGTTGGGCAGTTACTTGATGACAGATACAGACAAAATGTCCAGCTCTATCATGAGCGAGTGGAGGTGGTGAGAGCAACAAAAGGAAACTGGTATGATGAGCATATCAGCAGCCAGCCAGTCTCCATCTACTGCAGCTCTCTCGATACTCCAGGCCCCAACCCTGGTCCTAGTACTCAGCCAGAACAGTGGAATGACAGTCCGACTGCCAGGGAATGAGGACAGTTCCTACATCCTGCCTGCCAACTACCTCAAGAATGAGGAGGATGAGGATGAGAAAGGAGAGGAGACTGAAAGCAGTGACCCACTCCATGCTGGAGCAGACCTCACTTACTTTCTGCAAGAAGACACAGACAAAGAAGAATTAGAAAGGGTGATACAGGAGGCAAGGGCACAGGAGTACCACCTGTGGGGGGTAAATTTCTTATGGCATGATGCTACTTAGGTAGCATTACAATTAGGACAATTATATCTGCATTCTACCACTGAAAACAAAACAGAAATTCTGAGGTATATGGCCACCAACTATGCCACAGTCCAATACAACAAGAAGCATCTGGAAGATCTGGTCGGCAGATCACTGACCTATCAATTACCAAAGCACATACAATCAATGCTACAAACTCCATCTGTGTTAGGCCCAAGCGTCATGTGAGCGGATACATGTGATAAACAGATGTTCCTTCGCACTTCGAGGAACCACCTGAGTTCACTATATGTATATCCAGTCGGTGTGACTCAAGGTCAGATATAGACTCGAGGTAGAATGGTATGTATAAACTTTAGCTCGAAGCTGGGGTATACCAGCGAGAGCTGCAGTCCTTAAATACTGTACAGTTGTCTGCTAATTATACTACTGCTTATTATGTATGTCTGCGTCCATTGTGCTTGTTGTCCTTGAGTGTCACTATTATACATAAAAGGTCGATTGTGTGTTGTCGAGCACGACTGTCATTATGTCTTGATGGGAAGTTTTTAGTTGTGCTGACTAAGCTCCCCATGGTCTTGTGCCTTCTGACTCAGCGCGAAAAGAAAAGAAAAAGGAAAGAAAAAGGAATAAATCGTAACAATCTGTCACTCTGAAACATGCCATATACATGGCACCATCAGTCTAAAGCACATTCTCATACTCTGCACCCTCTTCCTGGTCAACAGCAACCCAGCTATCCTGATTCCAACCTCAGCCAAAGAACCCACCAGTCTCCTATCAAAACCCATAGACTGGCAAGAGAAGCTGAATTTTAGGGGCTTAGCCCTCAGCTGATGAAGCAGAAGAAAGTGGTGCAGGAAAGAAACCAATACATGACAATCCAGAAGCAGTCCAACTTGGGTTTACTATCTGAGATGGGGTCATAGTCCAAAAAGATGAGCCATCACAGGAAAATCCAGTTGTGAATGACAATTCCCTTCACTCTTTTTTCAGACCCCCACATGAATGGCAGAGACCTCCTTTGTCAGAGTGGCCCAACCTAATGGGCATGCTATCCTACAACACTGTAGTACTCCAATGCCAACCAGACCTACTATGAAAGCCCCACCCTTTCAAAGGGGCATCTGATAACATAGATCAGTTCCTCATCAACTGT